CAAATAGTATGAAGGTTCCTAAATCCGAGGAATTGGCAATATCATTTATGTATAGAAGAAAAAGGAGCGGTCCCAAAACAGAGCCTTGTGGAACTCCATATTTAATGATAAGGTTTTCGGATTTTTCATTAAGGACTTCTGTATACTGTGTTCTATTTGATAAGTAGCTTTTAATAAGACAGTTTGCATTGCCTCTTATTCCATACCTATCTAGTTTTGTTAGGAGTGTACTATGGTCGATTGTATCAAATGCTTTACTCAAATCTATAAATATTCCTAGAACATGGTTTCGTTTTTTTATGCTATCTTCAATAATCCTAACAGAGTAGTTAACAGCATGGCTAGTAGAGTGGGACTTGCGGAAGCCAAATTGGTTTTCATCAAGGATATTTTGTGACAGAGCGAAACTGTAGATACGGCTGTATATCACTTTTTCAAATATCTTACCAAATATAGGCAGTGTAGAGACAGGTCTGTAGTTTCCTACATCCTCTTGGTTTCCTTTCTTAAATATGGGAGTAACTTTCCCAACTTTCAAAACATCAGGAAATACCCCGCTCATCATGAGTTTGTTGAAATGTTGGGCTAAAACAGGGCAGATTAAATGAGCTGACTTTTTGATTATACGGATCGGAATATCACTAGATTTGCCATTTTCCAACTTGGAAATTATTTCCATGAGCTCAGTATGTGAACAGTCAGATAGGAATATAGAGTTATTGATGGATGGCAGGAGGTAGTCTTCAAATGTTGAAAATTCAGAAGCCTGTATAGGCAGGTCAGCTATTGATTCATTTAGAGTGGAGGCAATTGAGTTAAAGTATTTGTTGAACTCGTTTGCAATAACCCTTCTATCTGTTATTTTTCTGTTGTCGATTATAAATGAGGGTTTTATAGTCTTTTTACACTTCCCTCTAAGTTCATTAATGATCTGCCATGTCTTCTTACGGTCGTGCTTATTTTCTATGATTTGGTTGCAAGAGTAAGTATTTTTTGCAGAGTTAATTACAGATTTGAGGATCCTTCGGTATACTTTGAAGGTTTGTTCGAGAACATGGTCTCCATCAGGGTTTGCCTTAGTTTTAGATGCAATCCAGTTATCTTTTAATTCATGTTTTTTTTCAACGGCTGCTGAGATACTATCTGTTATCCAGGGGTTATTGATAGGATTCCGTTTAGTAGTTTTTGGCTTTACAAGTTTGCATGTTGCATCAAGTACACGATCAAATAATTTAGTAAAATCCGAGAATTCATGAGAAGTGTGGAGCTTTGAGAGGTCAGTGTTCAGTAGGGTTAGGAATTTATTAAGGTTGGCATTACTGAAGTCGTAGTACTGGACATGTTTTTCACTTTTTGGACCAACCTCAAATTCGATGTCAGTGAATTCAAATGTTGGAGCATGGTCACCAATTCTATCTGTTATACAACCTGAGAGAACACAGTTACCAGGGTCATTCGTGAGGATGTTGTCAATACAAGATGGTTTGCAATTTGGTCTCTCATGTGTAGGTATCGAAATAACGGGAGCGAAAGTTAGTTACCTGTCCTTCCAAAACCAAACTAGCAGTCAAGGACAAAAAGTCATACACCAAATGGGCATTATATTTTATGAATTGTTTTACATCTTTTTATTCTGTAAAAATGTGCTAAAATTAAATTTCTTGTTTCATTGAAAATTTCTTGTTTCATTGAAACCATTTCTAAATAAGCATTCTTCAAAAAGAGTATAGTTGCCATGACCAGCATCACCATTCACTTTAAGAAGGTCAACATTAAAGTCCCCCATTATACGTACACCAGATTTAGGGAGGAGTTTACATATGTGATCAAATGACTTAAGGAAATTATGAATGTCACCATTAGGAGGGCGATAGATGACCCGTGCGCATCCAATACTGAATCGCCGTAAATTTTTGCATAGCGGTATTTTATATATAGTTTGATAAGAGTGCAAAGTTTCAAAAGATTTCAAATAGAACTTGGATCACAGCGGGACTCCAAAGTTGATAAAAATCGTGAAAACACCAATTTTCAGTGATTTTAGCAATTTTTAATCAATTTGGGCGTGTCCCCACGTGTGCAACTTTTCGATTTTCAACTTTAAAACTAGCCTAATGCACAATTTATACCTATAGAAAGCATAACTGAGCTCCACAACCCAAGGGATAGCCCAACACCAGAGAATACTAAATCGCAAAATTGACGTTTTTATAAAATAATTTTTCAAAAAAGCACTAACTTCAAAGGCAAATATCTTTATGAAGGAGTAAGATAAGAAAACTTTCCGGTGGATTTTCAGAATGCTTAAACAATTATCTAAGATGAAAATTTCCTCAGATGTTGAAAAAAATTACTTTTAAATGGTGTAAAATCAATTTTAAAAGTTATTACTTTGTCGAAAATCAAGTTTTAAAAACGGTTAACTTGATGACGTCATCAAGGGGTGTTTATGACGTCAAATAATTTTTTTATACAATATAAACTAAAGTGTAAACAATTATTTTCAAGATCTGTGGTCGGAAATGGCTGTATCTTTTATACTTTTGAATCTATGGACACTTAAATTTAGGATACAATTGACTACATTTGACTGTCAAAGCGTCTATCCCTGAATATATGTATGTATCACGACAATCTGTCGTAAAACAGGGGTTCTAGAGAACCCATTTCCCGATGCTCCTGAAACCTGAAACTTTTTTTGCAGTCGATTTGGTCAACGTCTAGACGCCCTGAAAAATTTCAGATCTTTAACTCAATTTTAACATGGTTTTTAAGGCACCTGAATATGGCGATTTTGGGTTTTTTACCGAATTTCGTATAACAGTGCTGGCGAGTATTTTATGCAAATTTCTTAAAAATCTCAACATAACTATTTTTTATTCCTGTCATCTTTGACATCAAATTAGAATGTTTTCAACTAAAAATAAATCTGCTGAACGACTTCCGATGAGTCTTAATGCCTGAAAAACTCCTGCCGGAGGCAGCGGCCTTCGGCCGCCGCCTCCGGCCGGAGTGCACGCTTCGCGTGCACGAAAGAGGCGTGTAACGTGTACCAAAGGGGGTATAATAGTAAAGGGGGTATGATATTAAAGGGGGTACATAGTATACCCACAATAAATGCAACGGTCGTGCTTGCCAGCACTGTGATTTTTTGCTGCTTTTATGTTGTAGAGCACCTTTCAGAATTCAAATAAACAAAATTTCAGTCAAACGACATTTTTATTTTATGCCCTCTATAACAACAAAAATTAGGGCACAAAAATTCCATTCGATATTTAAAGGAACTCAGAAGCCTTATGAGTTATGTGGCACTCTTTAAATAATTTGGACAGACCTAACCTGAAGTTTCCCTCCAAATTATTACCTATTGCATTTGGAGGACTTTGCCGCTTCGCAAAGCAACGATCTCGACGGATTGACCATGACATCGTCAATCAACTATTGCATCAGTTTTAGGCAATAATGATTAGATTTGATTCCGGGTCGGCTTTAAATATTGCACTGTTTCCATTCATACTATTACCTGGGGACCTCAGGCTATATATTAATTATGTTCATAAACAATGCCGAATAGAGAATAGAGATTTGGTGAAATGACAGGCTGAGCGCGGCCCAGTTATTCATACTACTACTACTACTATGTCGGAACTAAGTCCGATCTACGCTAGATAGCCCCTCCATATATCCCTGTCCCGCATCAGGGTTCGCAGTTCCTCTTTAGAGTTTGTCCCAACTTCCTTCAGTAACATAGACAAGTAGCTTTGTCTTGATTGGCGTTGCTGTGCTCTACCATGCATAGGTTCCCATAAGACTAAATCACTGGCAAGTAGCTCAGGATGTCTGATGCAGTGGGCCGCCATTTTTAGTCTCCTGCTTCGTAACTTGTTTGACAGCCTTGGTAGACTACCATATTACAAAGTTATATTGCTGACCTTGTCCTTCCATGAGATACCCAGCACCATATGCAGCATCTTTGTGCATGTCCTGTCCAAACTTTTTTCTTGAGCCTTTGTCAGTGTCCAGGTTTCTGATCCGTAAAGCAGTACTGACTGAACAATTTAATCTTTAGGCTCTTTGAGAGTTTGGATTTTCAGATATCCTTCAGTCTATATAGCAGGGCTTACCACAATTACAGCATACGATTCTGCATTGTTCAATCCTCCATCGCATGAATTCTTCATTAAACTATTTATAAGGTCGCAACTGTGTTCAGCTGTATATATTTGAATTCAAATTTATTCTATCATAGATTTGTCTGAATTTTTTATTGAGAATTAGCGGTGATCCGGTTGTCAGATATTTTGATAGAACCGATCACGATTCCCCGGAATTCGATAGACCCACTAACAACAACTTGGTATTAGATAGATACTTGTACAATAATTCGTGTGTTTCGAAACTATATATTGAAACTTATACCACGTCTGACATCACATTATTGTAAACAAGTTGAATTTCATTCCGTCGTAAATAGGAAAACTGTTCACTGGTGCGGGATAATTGATCATGTGACTCGTAGTTATTCAACACAAAGATAGGCACCTCTTGTCTCCATGGCAGTCAATGCTGTCTTGAGATCATTTTTTCAATTATGCAACTGTAAAGAATTATTATTGTCTTGAGATGCACCACACCGCTACCTTCAATGCACTAAAAGTTATTAAATAAATTCTACAATCCTAATTTTGTATCTTGATGGAGACTGGTGTCCATACAAAACATTTACTAGGTTGCCGTTTGGTGTGAGCAATAGCGAACAGCACGCACACTCCTTTGACCCGTCAACATATATCTAATCTATTTAAAGAGTGACAACCATACTACACATTGAATTAGGATTCCTTTAAATATCAAATTGATTTATTGTAAACTTGTTTACTCTGTAATAAATGGCATAAAATTTAAATTTTTGTTTAACTGACATTTTTGTTTAACTGATATCTGAAATAGATACGTTTGTATGCCGTGTCTATAGATATTACATGTTTGACTGATATGAAATTTATTAGATTAGAACATGATGAATTGAACAGATTTTAATGAGATGTCAAACAACAGAACATACGTTGATCTATTTAACTTCAGAGAATCCGGTTCTGGTAAGCAACATGTTGATATTAGTTATTTTGTTCTTATGCAAAATTAATTTCTTATTGGACTATACGTATTTCTCATTCATATCATGTCAAATTCTCAAGAAGTAATTGGTGGTCAGAGATGAAAGGTAACCTTTTAAGCTACAAATCAATTCAAGATAAGGCCTTCATGGCAGTTCATATTCTATAAAATGCCTTCTAAAATGCAGCACCTAATATTTAATTACCTCCAAAATGTAGCTACAAATCCAATTACCAAAACAAAGGCTCACCCACTAAGCAACCAACCACTCAATAAAACTACACTGCATTCCGCAGGAGCCAATGTTGACATCATCACAATAGAAGAGGGCGAGGGAGAAAACAACGATTATAACAATTCTCGAAACAGATCTGGGAATAATGAGTATAGTAATTCCCGGAACAGGTCCCATGGAAACCGGGCTTCTTCTCCCTTCAGGGACAGAGTACAAGAAAGGTTGGTGTTCAAGTAAACCACCATAGAGCAGACTATGTTTTCTTTGGTTTACTCTTACATTCACAATAGTTGCCATAAATCATGAACACAAATCTTCAGCTGAATAAATTTGCTTGTGTGTTGGCTAGAGTCACATTCTAAATACTAATTTGTCTAACCAATTTACTTGTGATATTTCTACAACATCATCAAGTTGTGTACCAATTACATTGTTTTCATTATATCCAACCTTCACAATATCCCAGGTATAATCGCTCGCTATCTCCCACTGGATCACCACGCCTAAAGCGCAAGGTTACACCCCGCTCTGTCAGCCCTTTCACACGCACCCTATCACCTGTTAACTCATATGGGAGAACTAATACAGTCAAACCTATTGTATCTTCTCCTTACAAGTCACCTATTAAGAGTGCTTCTCCCGTCAAGTCTTATAGTAATAGAGGTAATTATAATTATATTAATCATAATAATAGTAGTAGTAGTAGTAGTTGTTGTAATTTTACTATATATAAAGCGAGACGATAAAAAGGATTAAACAGGATTAAACATAAATTTGTCAATGGGAGCCCTAACACTTACGTCTTGACTATACATCAATAGAGAAATAAATAAATAAATAGTGTGCAAGAGTGTTCTTAAAATAAAAATGATATAGGTATATATATATTCGTACCAGTTTACTTACACCACGGTATCAACTTTAACAGGACGTTCCGAAAAAACCATAAAAGATATAAAACTGAAACTTTTTTGACTGGGTCAAATGCCTTAATGGCCTTCAAACCAGCATGAAAAAATAAAACATTGGCCAAGGAATAAGAATTTTAGTGCCCAAAATGTAGACCCCCAAGTGGTGTCAAAAACGCGAATTAAATAGGTAATAATTATTTTAGTCTCTTGACTCTGGAGTCTTGACACCACTTTAAGGTTAGACAGGTTCCTGCTAGTAATTATAGTTGTTTTAATAGTCATAGTTATAATAAAGGATGGTAGTTCTTGTTTGTTGCGGAGTGCTCTATTTTTGGCAATTTAAGTAAGCTTTAGATTCGGGAAATATAACTAATTTCCTAATATGACCTAAACAGTAAACAATAAACATGAACTATCCACACCAGAACCGCTCCTTCATAAATTCATGAATTAATGATCTAAATTTAGATGAGGTTGGTGACTACAAGGATGGTAACTTCAAAATATGTACTATAAATGGATAGCTGTAGATTCTTTAAAAAATATTTATCGTATCTTTCATATGATCCCATAAACATCTGATTTATTGCCTTGAAAACGAAAGTGAAACTCTTTGCAGCGCTGAACACGAGTATACCCAACAACCCCAGTACACTAAACACCACACCACCCAACAACGAGTCAGCCAACACGGAGGAGACAAGGAGACTGAGATTTGAGAACTTGATACTCCAAAGCAAGGTGGAAACTCTTGAGGCGGAGAACAAGTCGCTTAAAGAGGTGAGTGAAAGTGAAAGTGAAAGTGAAAGTGAAAGTGAAAGTGAAAGTGAAGATATGAGTTACATTAATACGAGACTGAGCTCATCGTATCACCATGCTACGGTGACTCTGGCTTCATACACAAACTATTTTACTGTATGCCCAATTTTGACTCTTGGCATTATTTTGGTCTCCGCGATGAGTATGCAGGGACTCACATTAAAATACCATCTTTTACTATTTCATACTAATACTTCTCTTACTACTAAACTTTATTTACATCTCTAAAGTATTCGAATAATCTTGAATATTAGTAATAATCTCAACATTTTGTCTGTAACATAATATCACGTAGTATTGCTTGCGGAGGTTTCCTGCATTTCAAATTCCATGTAACAACAATAAATCAAATTGACTTCTACACCCGACAAATTACTCTCTGCACTCCAATACATGTGACAAAACACCAATATACATGTGGCAAAACACACACAGAATGCTAATAGTATGTATTCCTTATGTTTTTGCTTGCAAGTACTTTTAAAAAGGATAGTAAGCAATTAAACTAAATATTGTGTGGTGTGTCACGTGCTATTAGTGGTGTGTCACGTGGTGTTAGTGGTGTGCTGGATCTCAGTCATCCTGCTTATCAAACAGTAACTTGGGAGGAACTGTGTGGTTATTGTTTTGCTTATCAAATACAAAGTTGGGAGGAACTGTGCGGTTATTGTTAGTGAAGATTTTAAGTGTTTTTTTGAAAAACACTTCACTAACAAATTCTTTAGAAGAGTATGAGATAACTGAAAGTGCATGCGATCATATGACTTCGTTAGCTGTTCTGGAAGATATGTTGATTTTATGGGGAATTTATTATTTAATAACAAATACTCTGGTAATCATTAAATGTTATTCATTTGTTATTTTGAGTTGAATGTTATAAGTATATGGTTTTCTAAGCTGTATAATATTAGAAAATCTAAATTCTAGTATGCAGCAGTAAATAATATGCACGCAGCAATAACTTTCTCATAAGATCTTGTGGTATATCTCAATCTATCTTTGTATTTTCCAGTTACAATTCAATATAATTCTTAAACCTCACAATTCTCAACCACCAAATATTTCCCCATAATTTAAACCTGTAACTTAAGTAAGTAAGTACATACCTCAGCTCGTCTCTACTTACTCTCAGCTCCTTTATCAAACATTACACTAACTTATAGAGTGACCATCGATACAACAAACAACACGTGACACCCACGTGACACTACACTTCCTTAAAGCAGCCCAGTTACCATGGCGACCTGCCCCTTAGTTTAGACCAACCCCGGCTATTACCTTAATTACATCATTATTATGCAAATTTAAGAGGGCCCATTAACCAATTTGTACCTTAATTAGGGGCTGTTGTCATGGCAACGAGAATAAAGTTCAGTGTATTGTTTTAGGAGGAAATGAGTGAGTTTCCGGGTAACCATAGCGACCATGGTAATTAAATATCACGTGACACAATAGGGAACATAATGATTAAAATGGGGGACTACAATCTGACTCTAAATTTGGGGCATTTCAGATATTTAGAAGGGGGACGGTGATGTTTATGAAGGAGTAGGTAGTTTAAAGCAGCTGCACTGAATGGCCTTGAAAGAGCTGTAAACCATACAATGTGTATTCTTTACAACAGATCAGGGTGCATTTGAAATAAGCCACTCACTGTTTTATCTTACATCAGAATTTAGCATACCAGTCAAAGTAAAGGGGAAATACAAAGATACATATCTGGTAATTTACATGTGTAACCAACACCTGGTTAATGGTTACCATGGTAACCGGGGTTACCAGGGGTTACCAGGGGGTTTTGTATACTCATTGATACCTGGGTATATAATACATTGTTTAATAAACTGTCAGAACTGTTATCCCTCATTTGGGGTTAGGGGCGTGCAGTGTCTAGTGTATATAATATAATGTATACCACATGTCCTAAGTGAAGTCGGATACGGGGTTGCTAACTTACTAACTATAACGTACTACTTTTAATAACTTAAAGTGATCATATTATTATAGTATTATCATATTATATTATATTATAGTATTATCATATAGGAAAGCTTTGGGTTCTAATTCCTCTCATATATCTGTTATATTTTTGTTGGAACTATTTAAAGAATGTTCGCACTGATTGTTATCTTCTTCAGCTGAACGCGATGAAGCACACGACCCCAGATAACAGGGCCATGACACGTGATCTCTCCCAGCTAACTCTGGACCTTGCAGCAGCAACACGTCAGATAGATAAACTGAAGAAAGATAACGACGATCTTACCTCTCAGGTAGGGGGACTTTTTTTTTTTTTAAAATATGCAACCTACTAAAACCAATGGGGCCCTCCCCGGGGTCATTACTCTTGCATTCGGGGTCATTACTCTTGCATATAGGCGAACTTGATTGGTGTATTTGTACTGCGCAAGTGTGCAAGTGTGCACAGTACTAACTTGATTGGTGTATTTGTACTGTGCAAGTGTGCAAGTGTGCACAGTACTAACTTGATTGGTGTATTTGTACTGTGCAAGTGTGCAAGTGTGCACAGTACTAACTTGATTGGTGTATTTGTACTGTGCAAGTGTGCACAGTACTAACTTGATTAGTGTATTTGTACTGTGCAAGTGTGCACAGTACTAACTTGATTAGTGTATTTGTACTGTGCAAGTGTGCACAGTACTAACTTGATTAGTGTATTTGTACTGTGCAAGTGTGCACAGTACTAACTTGATTAGTGTATTTGTACTGTGCAAGTGTGCACAGTACTAACTTGATTAGTGTATTTGTACTGTGCAAGTGTGCACAGTACTAACTTGATTGGTGTATTTGTACTGTGCAAGTGTGCACAGTACTAACTTGATTGGTGTATTTGTACTGTGCAAGTGTGCACAGTACTAACTTGATTAGTGTATTTGTACTGTGCAAGTGTGCACAGTACTAACTTGATTGGTGTATTTGTACTGTGCAAGTGTGCACAGTACTAACTTGATTGGTGTATTTGTACTGTGCAAGTGTGCACAGTACTAACTTGATTGGTGTATTTGTACTGTGCAAGTGTGCACAGTACTAACTTGATTAGTGTATTTGTACTGTGCAAGTGTGCACAGTACTAACTTGATTGGTGTATTTGTACTGTGCAAGTGTGCACAGTACTAACTTGATTGGTGTATTTGTACTGTGCAAGTGTGCACAGTACTAACTTGATTGGTGTATTTGTACTGTGCAAGTGTGCACAGTACTAACTTGATTGGTGTATTTGTACTGTGCAAGTGTGCACAGTACTAACTTGATTGGTGTATTTGTACTGTGCAAGTGTGCACAGTACTAACTTGATTGGTGTATTTGTACTGTGCAAGTGTGCACAGTACTAACTTGATTCGTGTATTTGTACTGTGCAAGTGTGCACAGTACTAACTTGATTCGTGTATTTGTACTGTGCAAGTGTGCACAGTACTAACTTGATTGGTGTATTTGTACTGTGCAAGTGTGCACAGTACTAACTTGATTAGTGTATTTGTTCTGTGCAAGTGTGCACAGTACTAACTTGATTAGTGTATTTGTACTGTGCAAGTGTGCACAGTACTAACTTGATTAGTGTATTTTTACTGTGCAAGTGTGCACAGTACTAACTTGATTGGTGTATTTGTACTGTGCAAGTGTGCACAGTACTAACTTGATTGGTGTATTTGTACTGTGCAAGTGTGCACAGTACTAACTTGATTGGTGTATTTGTACTGTGCAAGTGTGCACAGTACTAACTTGATTGGTGTATTTGTACTGTGCAAGTGTGCACAGTACTAACTTGATTGGTGTATTTGTACTGTGCAAGTGTGCACAGTACTAACTTGATTGGTGTATTTGTACTGTGCAAGTGTGCACAGTACTAACTTGATTGGTGTATTTGTACTGTGCAAGTGTGCACAGTACTAACTTGATTGGTGTATTTGTACTGTGCAAGTGTGCACAGTACTAACTTGATTAGTGTATTTGTACTGTGCAAGTGTGCACAGTACTAACTTGATTGTTTATTTGTACTGCGCAAGTGCGCAAGTGTGCACAGTACTAACTTGATTGGTGTATTTGTACTGTGCAAGTGTGCATAGTACTAACTTGATTGGTATATTTGTACTGTGCAAGTGTGCACAGTACTAAATTGATTGGTGTATTTGTACTGCGCAAGTGTGCACAGTACTAACTTGATTGTGTATTTGTACTGTGCAAGTGTGCAAGTGTGCATAGTACTAACTTGATTGTGTATTTGTACTGCGCAAGTGTGCACAGTACTAACTTGATTGTGTATTTGTACTGTGCAAGTGTGCACAGTACTAACTTGATTGTGTATTTGTACTGTGCAAGTGTGCACAGTACTAACATGATTGTGTATTTGTACTGTGCAAGTGTGCACAGTACTAACTTGATTGTGTATTTGTACTGCGCAAGTGCGCAAGTGTGCACAGTACTAACTTGATTGTGTATTTGTACTGCGCAAGTGCGCAAGTGTGCACAGTACTAACTTGATTGGTGTATTTGTACTGTGCAAGTGTGCATAGTACTAACTTGATTGGTATATTTGTACTTTGCAAGTGTGCACAGTACTAACTTGATTGTTAATTTGGACTGTGCAAGTGTGCAAGTGTGCACAGTACTAACTTGATTGTGTATTTGTACTGTGCAAGTGTGCACAGTACTAACTTGATTGTGTATTTGTACTGTGCAAGTGTGCACAGTACTAATTTGATTGTGTATTTGTACTGTGCAAGTGTGCACAGTACTTACTTGATTGTGTATTTGTACTGCGCAAGTGCGCAAGTGTGCACAGTACTAACTTGATTGTGTATTTGTACTGCGCAAGTGCGCAAGTGTGCACAGTACTAACTTGATTGGTGTATTTGTACTGTGCAAGTGTGCATAGTACTAACTTGATTGGTATATTTGTACTTTGCAAGTGTGCACAGTACTAACTTGATTGGTGTATTTGTACTGTGCAAGCGTGCACAGTACTAACTTGATTGGTGTATTTGTACTGTGTAAGTGTGCACAGTACTAACTTGATTGGTGTATTTGTACTGTGCAAGTGTGCAAGTGTGCACAGTACTAACTTGATTGGTGTATTTGTACTGTGCAAGTGTGCACAGTACTAACTTGATTGGTGTATTTGTACTGTGCAAGTGTGCAAGTGTGCACAGTACTAACTTGATTGGTGTATTTGTACTGTGCAAGTGTGCAAGTGTGCACAGTACTAACTTGATTGTGTATTTGTACTGTGCAAGTGTGCACAGTACTAACTTGATTGGTGTATTTGTACTGTGCAAGTGTGTACAGTACTAACTTGATTGGTGTATTTGTACTGTGCAAGTGTGTACAGTACTAACTTGATTGGTGTATTTGTACTGTGCAAGTGTGCACAGTACTAACTTGATTGGTGTATTTGTACTGTGCAAGTGTGCACAGTACTAACTTGATTGGTGTATTTGTACTGTGCAAGTGTGCACAGTACTAACTTGATTGGTGTATTTGTACTGTGCAAGTGTGTACAGTACTAACTTGATTGGTGTATTTGTACTGTGCAAGTGTGCACAGTACTAACTTGATTGTGTATTTGTACTGTGCAAGTGTGCACAGTACTAACTTGATTGGTGTATTTGTACTGTGCACGTGTGCACAGTACTAACTTGATTGGTGTATTTGTACTGTGCAGGTGTGCACAGTACTAGCTTGATTGGTGTATTTGTACTTTGCAAGTATGCACAGTACTAACTTGATTGGTGTATTTGTACTGTGCAAGTGTGCACAGTACTAACTTGATTGGTGTATTTGTACTGTGCAAGTGTGCACAGTACTAACTTGATTGGTGTATTTGTACTGTGCAAGTGTGCACAGTACTAACTTGATTGTGTATTTGTACTGTGCAAGTGTGCACAGTACTAACTTGATTGTGTATTTGTACTGTGCACCCTTGTCATAGGGCAAGTTAGGCTCTAGTTTAAGATGACAGTAACTTGGAATGTAGCCAATGTTTGTAATTTCTCATTTTTATTTCACTTTTCTGTGGTAGTTCCACCAGTATCTCTATTATAAAGGTCACTACACACTGCACTGTTTTGTATAGTAAATTGGTAACATTTACACGACAAAGTCATGGTCCGTAATAAATCTAATTTCAATACAATGAGCCGTGTTATTTAGGGAATTCTAATTCTTTTCCACATTAAAACCTGTATACGTAACTCTGAGGTTTGCAATACCCAAGTAACTTAATAATTATCTATTTAATTAGATAATTAATTACCACAGCCACCACTATAATAACCTGGGTAAACACAACGTTGAAATCCTCAATATTCCCGCTAAATTCAAAGTCCCAGTTTCCCTCCACTACAGCTGGTAATTCTATACAGGTAGCTACTACATGTATTGGGTTTATAGTAATGGGATTAAGGGGATGAGTGTATGTGCTTACAGAGGGCACACTGTCATTTATACACTGTGACACTGTGACACTGTGACACTGTGACACTGTGACACTGTGACACTGTGACACTGTGACACTGTGACACTGTGACACTGTGACACTGTGACACTGTGACACTGTGACACTGTGACACTGTGACACTGTGACACTGTGACATTACAGAGGGCACACTGTCATTTATATGTCTGAAACTTATCCTGCTACCAATTACAAATTACCAATTACAAATTACAAGTTACAAATTACAACATGTGTTCTTGTCAGCATGTTGTTGATTTGAATCATTTAAATATCTTGCTTGAGCTGGAAGTAAAGTCATCCTTGATATTTTTGATATCTTAAAACCGTTATCGTGATAGTTTCGCGTGTGCTACAATAATTTGTACCTAGAATAATGCTATCAAGAATTTAACACATATCTTGTGAAATATCCCCTGTTACAACCAGAGAAAAGGAGGTTTACTGATAGTTGGATGATATCCGGTTGTTATCCAACTATCAGTATTTCAATCATGAGACTAATAAACAGCGAACTACTCCATCATTTGATCTGAGTGTATGATCTGAGTATATGACAGTTCCTGCTTGATATTGAAGTATTAAAGTTCGTCAAAGTATGATGCTTGCTTAGATGTGTGGCGTTCTTAAGGTCATAATAATGCCACTGTAATTGGTATAATATATGCAAGATAAAATGCACAGAGAAGTTTAGTGAATAGAAAACTATAACTGTAAGTACCAGTTAAACGTTTTCTTGGGTCCGTTTGTAAACAAATGGATATGTTTGTGGAAATGTGGGCCATCTTTGAAGAATGAAGAGTCATTCTCACAAAGGGGCAACTTTCATTAGACCATCATCTAAGGAGACATGATTGTTGGGAATTTGGCCCCATTTTAAGCGGTTCAACTTTTAAGTGGGTCATTAGCTAGATATTTAATTACTTACAAGCCTTCGGAGTAAGTTTTGTGATGTCATATTTTGTGTGGCGCGCAGAAACAAAATAATAACAAAGGTAAAACAGAGGATACTTTATAAAGTCGCGCATTACGCGCGCACACATGTTTCATGCCAGCATACATGTGCTCTGATATGGTAGATAGAACTTGAGGACTTTTGCGATATTGTACCTTCAAAGATTTTATCTTTATCCTCATTTAAAAGTTTTGCTCCTCGCAGTTGTACTCATTGAAAGTGGACAGACTAGAAAACCCTAAGAATGTAGAGTCTCTCTCAAAGGATGTTAAAGAGGATTGGACCGGTTGTCAGGCTGATGCTATAGAACATTTGTGCACAGAGGTTAGTTCAATTTGAAATATATTGGTTACTGAAATTTGTTACTTATTTAGTATTATTTTCTTGGAGTAACATATTTTTTAAATAATTGTCGTTCACGTATTTCAAAACAAACCGTTCTTTATGTTTTTACGGTTGGCTTCACTCGTAAACTTGTCTCAGAACCAACGGCTAAGAGAAACAATATTCGACATGAACGAACAGAAATTACACGTTCACAGACTTATGGAACAACAGGGCGCTCCGGTAAGGCAGATTAGCAGTTTGAGGAGACACTTTTTAATATCTGTAATATCTTCTGTGGTTTTGTCCGGTACACTAATAAAAGTTTGGTTGAGCGGACAAATCATAGCTCATTTGGCTAATCTTGGATGGTTCATGTGATTTATTCACCTCAACTGCCATTCAATTAAAATTTGGTTCATAGACCAATTAGTCGTACTTTATTTCAGGAAATTTATTGAGATCACGTTTCTAACGACAGTTTTTAACGTTTCAGTTAATTTTAAACAATTGTTAAAGGGCGAATGTATAATTTTAGGTTCTACAATTACAAATACAATACATCTCAGTTGAACCTACCTCGTAAAAGACTCGACAGTTGTCAGCTAGAAAACGAGCAGCTAGCCGAGAGAAGAAGCGTCTACTTGCAAGAATGGTATAACATTTCCAGACTTACAATTTCAGATACAACTTATATCATCCTAGTTTAAATTATGAAAACCAATTTGTTGCCGTACTTTACCCAAAACTGTTTCATCGTGGGTTATCATTGACTCAAATTTTGAACCGTGAATTATATCATATTCTGGGTTTTGCATCTTCGCTTTGCACCACCACCACCATCACAAAACAACAAACAACAAAAACAAACAAAAAAACAAACAAAAACAAACAAAACAACAAAACCCCACATCAGGAGACAGAGAACCAGGAAGCTAAGAGAATAGTTGAGAAGTACAGTAAACTGAAGGATGATTACAATGCCGCTCTTTCTCAAGTATGTGATTTAACTGTTCATCAGAAATAATTTACTGTGGAATGTAGCCTGCAGGTTTTATGTGTTCAACCATCACCGCAACTATTCATGAGCAAATCATTGTTTCCTCATATTAAGATATCTGTAGAGAAAAACACAAAATATTAGATTAAATATAGAATAATATAAAAATGCAAAGACGAATGAGTTACTCAATCAGTAGTTATACTATTGATAAAATGATTTTTGCTCGCAAATTTTCAAATCAAAAACTTGACAATTTTAACAAGTTCACCTCAATTTCAGATATCGAGTCTACAAGACCAGCTGTTAAAGTATGAGCAGAACGGGAGCAACAAGATAGAACTGGAAAACAACACTGTCAAGAGTAAGTTTGGTTCAAATATTCGTCTAGCAATTTTCTCTGTTCATCGCCAGAGAAATAACTTTGCGGGTTTGATGTGTCTTAACCACGTGATCTAAACCACCACCCTCAGATCTGACATCACGAGTGAAGGAGTTGCAGGAGAAACAGGAGGAGAGGGAGAGGGACTATGCTAGGAGGGAGGAGGAGTTTGAGAGACAGCTGAAGCAGAAGGAGAGGGAGCTACAGGATAGGATTGACTTACATGTTAAGAAGGTACTTTTAGTTTGCTTAGTTATTATTTGATGAATTATTTGATGAATTGATTATTATATTAATTAGTCAATGTCTTGTAAGTTTGACAACTAAAATTGAAGTTTATGCTGTCAGTCTACTCTCCCTTAATCTAAAATACACACAGATACATTTTATCTTTTACAGTTTTAAGTTCTCGCCCTTAACAGGGCTGACCATTATCGGATATTATCAAATCATTTAATCTCCGAATTGTTCTAAACTGACCGAACTGTTACCATAGTTACGCGACATAGAGGAGGAGATAAGGCGAGTTAGTCACGTGTGTGATATGATGTGTCAGGAGAAGGATAACGCGATACAGACCCTGCAGAAGCAGATAAACACCAACGCTATCCTCTCTAGGTGAGTTAGTCACGTGTTAGTCACGTGTTAGTCACGTGTTAGTCACGTGTTAGTCACGTGTGTGATATGATGTGTCAGGAGAAGGATAACGCGATACAGACCCTGCAGAAGCAGATAAACACCAACGCTATCCTCTCTAGGTAACCTGCACTGTGCAGATTATTTAGTTTTTAGTTAATACTTTAATAGTTTGTTATACTGTCCCCTAGATTGTCTTTATTAGTCACGTGACAGGGGGAACTGTTTTACCTGATTTACATGTGCCTGTACTGGTAGTGTAATCTGTGAAGTCTCTTCGAAGATTAGATGAATCTGTACTCCCGTCTTATGTTGTATAATATCTTTCTAGTGCTGTTTGGGCCATTCGTCATTTCAATAAAGCCTATGAAGCAATGATACTACGCCAGATTCAGAAAAAAACAATAAATAAATTCCAATTCGTCGCACTTTTCGCAGCCCTTTATACTATAGTTTCGTCTGTCTTTAAGCAGTCGTCATCAGTAATCCAGCGGCCATGTTGAATGCCATTTACTCAAATTATTTGTTGTATAGTAGTGTTGAAAGTATTAAAACTTTGTAGTGCTTAAGATCACTCTTTATCATGCAAAATTAATTCCAGAAAATGCTATCAGTGAATCAAATGTACTGATGAAAATATTATCAAAAGTTATAATATTTTTCAGCAGAAATTTAAAACTGCCTCAAACCCCCCTAGAAAGGTTTAAGGAAACAGTTTTAAAGTTCATATAAGTCCCTGACTAAAATATACCGACCTATTATGGAGCAATCCGGATATCCACCAGGAACAAAGTTTATTGTACCGTCTTGACAAACAGCCCTGACGTCTTTCCCTTTCTTTGCTTGTCTTCGTGGGCAGCTGTAGGATATTTCTGTTTCATCTTCAGCTGGTAACTCAGAGTCTGCTACCATGACATCTAGATTGGAGTTGACGGAGCACTTGGCTGAAAATATATGACTTTTTGGTTTCTGTCATCTACATGGTGTTAGGAGTCAAGAAACGTACCTTTAAATCTTTTATCGGAATCATTAATAGATATAAAACGACATTTCGACTGGTCTGCCATTGTGAAACTACATTGTCATTATTTGCATAATTTCAGTACGTAGATTCCTATCTAAAATAAGAGAAATCAAGGACAGAAAACGTCATGACAAAGTATTGAGATACTCAGAGTAAATGTGCAGTAAAAATAATGTTTTTAAACCTAGAACACCGTAGATCTCCACCTCTCCTAGATTAACTACCCCTACAATCCCCTGCTTTCTTATCTCTACCTTATCTCCAACTCCTGCCTGAATAAAATCATACTCTAACTTCCCTTCAGTAAAACTTCCGCAGTTGACCTCTGTTTCGATCTTATTCACGATGTATACGCTAAATCCTACAATTCTATTCCAAGTATCCTGTCTATTAACTACTCGTATCCGGGATATTATATAGGTTGACGGGAGTTCTATTGAGATGATAAATCCATTAAGGTGGACCCCAATGCAGCAACTGTGTGCAAATGTTGCGTAGTCTCCATCGAATAAGTGGGTTGCTGGGTGATCGGGACGTCCTGTTGTCATGACGACGCTCCTGATTGGAATCAAACCTGCAAATTCAAGTTAAAGTGAAACGGATTTAGATTTTAATTTTCTGACCAATTGGACAAACTTGAACGCATTTTGAATTTTTTTCACGAGGGTCTTATTAAAACTTAAGCAAGACCATTGATAGGTGCAAACACTGAACAAGAACAATGAATGTATGAACGAGTAACCATAAAATATTTACTCACCACATTTCAAAGGCGGCACCAATGTCAAGAAAACAAAAAGGAACATTTTCTTGTTAGCTGTAGAACTAGAGGGATAATGATTTTATATATTATAAATTTTTTGGACAATAAGACTTATATAATATATAGGTCTTATCGTCCAAAAAGGTGGGCAAGGACGAACAATTTTGCACGAAAAGACAAACAATTTTTAACCTCCTCTACTTATTTTAGTTCCCCAACATTGTCGAGGTGACAACTGGCTCCACGCGGTGTAAAGCAGCGCCATTTCTCGTGTCTATTTGCATATTTAATATTTATGTGTAATATTACATTCAGAAAAGAAAATTCACGCTCATAACTTAATAGTCGCTCCCAAATGTTGCAAATGATTCCTGCGCTCAAGACGCTCAACATGAAAATCCATGTGGTACTATGACCCTCATATCTGATATCTATAATTCCCTGGATATTTGAATATTTGAATATTTGAATATTTGAATAACTCTCTGAAGATCTCCATCTAAATCCGTCGAGATTGAGATAAATATTCATGCCTTGAATCTAAACTGGTCATTTGTAAGACACTTCCGCACTACGAGTATACCTTATCGGACTTTGTATTGGAGGAACATTACGAGAGTGCTGGGCCGGGGGGCTTAGCGCTCATACTTATATATTAATATAATCACGACATTTCCATTTAATGTTTCAACCCAAATTTAAGTGCGATAAAGTAATAGCACAGCAAATCAGTCGACTGTATTGACAAACCAAAGTGTACTAAGCTCAGTCCTATAAAACCTTGAAGGTGGCCGCGCCACATATCCTTGGTCAGTAAGATGACATTGCTCAATAAACATGAGCAACTCGCTGCTCACTGCAAATATAAGCCGCCGCTAAGATATTATTCATATTCTTCCTCTATCCAACCCCTGGCAAGCTAAATTATTCTTTTATACTATCTCTCTTCTAGAATATCAGAATTGAGCCTCTGCCAATCAGAATTACCCAGTGTACACGTACTGTGAGGAGTTGTTCAAATATTACGAAAGCCTAATTTTGGTCGCTCTAGAATCTAGATCCCGAGCTATAAGCCACTTGACATACGGCTATTGTGTAGAAATGACCTTTTTCGAGCCAGTAAACCCCTCCCTCCTAGGGTGGTTCACCTTTATGTATGTTAACGATCTCTTATAATTATATCTACACTTACAGCATTCAACTCAATAATATATATCAAGAAGTCAGCAACGTTTTTTAAAACCGGCACATATTTATAAACAATTTCATAATTTGTATCAAATCATAAACATTAATACGAACCAATTTGCTAATTTTGATATCCTTCTACTTACCTGATTGAACATCATTGTTCCAGATTAAGTGACAATCCTTCCTCCCGTTAAACAGTGTGCTGATAATATCCTGCTTAAATTATTCAAACGAGCACCAAGTTATTTCATTTGAAAAAAAAAACACCGCATTTCGATATTCATATCTGAGTTAAGTTTATTACTTGGAATCGGTATCATGTTCAAAACTGAACATCCTGAGTTCCTGAGTTTCTCTCGACTGAGTTCATGGTATTCGTTATTCGTATAACATATTACATAGATATTAAATACATGCAACTTTGATACATTGTAACGAGGTAATTTTTAATTGGTCAGGCAGTTCACAAACAAATCACAATATGAAATATTGTTTTTATGATTGCATATAATGTATACGTGTACGCTGAATGTACGAAACACTTGATGTAATCTGATGCTTATTATGACATACAACATTCAAATTAATGGCTATCGAAGAGATTGTGGCTGAAATGGTAAAGTGATGCAAAGTCATGTGAATATACAGAGTCACTGAATCAACTTGGTTAATCTTTAAATGTGGGAACATGCTGAACAATGAACATGCTGTTTGATAGATAAAAACCCAACAAAATATGGTATGTGTTTTGGATAGCTCTTATCTAAGACCGTTTCCAACCTACCAATAGTAATGACGTCATCATTAGAGGAGCAGAGGAACCCTTTGACCGCGTCGCCAGAATCAGTGAAATCCAGACATCTGCCCTCAAGTGCATTTACATAACTGTACTTATCACTGGTAGAGGTTTCAAATTAACATTTTGAACATTTGAACATTTTTTTGAACATTTTTGAACATTTTTGAACATTTGAATATTTTTTTGAACGATTTTTTGAATGATAGTAAAACTCAATAGTATTTTTTTTTACAATTCAACAATTTTGTTTTAAATTAAGAAAATAATAAAAAGTTGATAGTTGACGTACCTAGTTGCGGGGCCTGATCCACATGACAGTGCTTCTAGGATCTTTTCTGTCACTTCTTGTTCCTCACATTCCCAGTCATCACCTGAAATAGAAATGATAAAACTATGAGTTTTTTACGACATGAGTAATAAATATGTCGTTGAATTATTATCCAGCGACTATACAGACATGGATCTTTATTATAATAATACCTAAATCGGTAACAGATAACAGATGAATTGTGTGCAATTCGAACAGAATGTTTGTGTGATTCGTGCTAAAAATCCATCTCCATAATTTTTAAAAACGAACATTTTTATTTGGGATTATACTCACCATTCTTGTAGATTCCAGTCCAGATACCGAAAGTCCCCATGTCATTCATATGATCGTACAGTTTATCTATATCTGATGTTGTTTTAGGACAGGACAGTACCATTCCGCCTTCCTTGCATTTTTCCACGGCTTTTTCTGGTGGGATGTACCGATCATTAGTGCAACTCTAAGTTCTTGAAATTCTATAAAATGTTATAGTTAGTTTCAGGTGGTCAATCAATCATTCTATAATTGGATGGTCATTGATTACAACACAAAGACAACAAACTTATTTGGAGTAAACTTATTTGGAGTAAACTTATTTGGAGTAAACTTATTTGGAGTAAACTTATTTGGAGTAAACTTATTTGGAGTAAACTTATTTGGAGTAAACGTTTCTTCTCCTTACCAAATGTAAGATCTTTTTCTTCTGAATCTGCAAGAGTAATGACTAAAAGATTCAGCACCAATACAACACGGGTCAAATCAGCCATCCTCTTCTTATGTACACACCAAGCCAGAGCAAGGCGTGTGGGACCTAGCTTCTAAATCGGGATGGGTTAGTTACCATAGTTACACAAAGATATAATGTCACCATAGTAACAAGGTGTGTGGGACCTAGCTTCTTGATCGGACTGGGTTAGTTAAGCAAGGTATATCACTCAAGAAGGTAAAAAATTACGTGAAGTTTTTATCTTAGACATTGAAAGTTCCTATTTCTTTCAAACCATTGCGTTGATAATAAAGTTGTACGGGTTCAACAGCGAAATTTTGAGCAGGGCTGCAGGGAGTAACAAATGAAGTTCGACACAATTAGTGCATCTTCAAAGAGGCAGCACGGAATAAAAAGAGACATAAAAACCGTTCTAAATTGCCACCTTCCGGCCACATTTAGAAACATAGTACCCTGAACAAATCCTAAACTTTCAGATTAATTGAACAGTTCACAGAAAGTTACAGGACTCAAAACTAATTACAGCAATCGTTGTAACTAATTAAATGCGCATTCTTAGGCCAATGGATCTGGCTTTTTACCTAGTAAAAATCCACAATTTCAGAGAAAAATTATTACAAAATTAAAGGCTTCTCACTCCCGATAATACAACATATTTTTGAGCCTCCCTGAACAACAAAAAACCAGCTGCTAGCAAAACCATACATTTCAGAGACCTGATTATATCTGGAACTGTAATAATATCTCGAATTGTCAAAGTGGCACAATGATTTCAACTTAATCATTGTGCCACTTAAGGCTTAACCTTGCTTTCTGCACAGATTAACTTTACCGGGGTAAGCACAGGGCTTCAATGCTCTATCTTATAGTGGTTTTGATCTATTCCTTAGTAGTAAATACCACTGCCCCCTACGAAGAAGAAGAAGATTTCAACAATAATCACACGTACTACGAACCCTCATAGCGTATCAAACACTAAATAAGCTACAAAATAATCGAGGGCAGGTGCGGACTGTTTGCTCTTCACAGCATAGTACTGCAAATAAAGAGGCTTAAGAAAAGAGGGGCTACTATATTACAGGGAGGCTACTTCATTACAGAGCAGTAAGAAGTTAGGAAGTAATTGTATGGTTACGTCCGATGGTTAAATTATTACAGACTGGAGTCCCCACCATCTATGGTAACATCGTCATAGTAACACTATCATATAGGGTAACTGAATGACGTGGTTACGGCCGATGGTAAAGTTAGTACAGACTGGAGCCCCCCATGGCGTAAGAAACATTTACAATGGATGGCAAATTTAATACAGCCGACTTTACAGCCGCACAAATACAGAGAAACCTTATCAAAAGCTTAGTAATATCACATATGTCAGTAATTCAGAGGTTGTACTAGGTGGAGATATGGTATTGGGGTCGAAGGGGAGCGATGAGGTGGCGAAGGAGGCCCCCTGGGTTTTGACTAAATCAGCGGTTTACTCTTTTGGTTAACTTTTCTAAGTGTGGACAGTCGTGGGTGATGCAGAAATGTGTGACTATTGGGAAATTGTTTTGACCTCACTTTGAAATAAGATGTGAAAATTATGGATCCTATACTAAATAATCATGATTCTTCTGCAAAGTGACAGAGTACCAAACCTTGGGGGAAAAGTTGTTCAGTACGTACATAGTCAGTAGTACGGGGTGGAAGTGACGCGACCTTCTCACGTGACGCAACCTGCTCACGTGACGTCACCTGCTCATGTGACGCAACCTGCTCACGTGACGCAACCTGCTCACTGAACCTCTGACTAAAAAGCAATTTCAAGTGAAGTGCTCAGGAAACGATGGACGTTAAGGTCCTTTGATCTCTTTTCAAAGGCTTTTCAAGAGCATCACATACGTCCATTGAATCTTAATTAAGGGTATTTCGGGGCCCAAAAGCTCTCAGATCCCAAATTTCACCCCTGTGGACCCATGAATTTTAGTGGAAGTGGTAGGTAAATCAGTCCCGTCACCTCCAACTCTATTGATTTAGTTGGTTACTCTTAGAAGCAGCGGTTTTGTCAATAGAATTATACGCCTGATGGAAGACCTGTAATTAATATATCAAATGCAAGAGCTGGTGAGATCAGTGTCTTTGACAGTTTGAGGTGAGTAAGATTGTGATTATCACGCATGGGAACAGGGTTATTGTGGTGCTGTAGAGTATAGAGCTGTGGAGGCTCTGAAGTGTTATTATCATGATACTGTTGTCAGTAGTCAGACTACTAACGAGCTGTGGGTGGTAATGATAATTGCTAATGATAATAACAGGGCTTTGTATTGGCTATTATAGCTGTAAGCTGGATTAATGACATTGTGCTATCTGTAATTATCTAACTACAAAATATCGGCCATCTCGTTCAGTCTCTTCTTATTTGTCATACAGAGGATCATAAAATGGACCTAAAATATCAAAAATTCAGGTTTTGGACTTGCTGTAAATAGCGCGCCAAAAGGTTTACGAAATTTTGAAATTATAAATTTCTAATAAATGAATTTCTATAAATTGCTGGTTAATTAATATAACGAATAATTGACCCTCAGATCGAACGAACAATTACAAAACACAGTTAACGAGCAGTCCGACCGCATCAGAGACTTTGTGTACAGACAGATGAGGGACACTGAGCTCATCAATGAGCTTAAGAATGACGTGAGTAACAGTAACCAGAGTAACCATAGTAACACTACCATATAAGGTAACTGAGCTTATCAATGAGCTTGAGTGAGTATTTTATATCATTGTAAGTAAGAAATAAAAGGTGAAACTGGTATTATATAAAACTTTTATATTTCCATTATTACAAATTATCCAATGTTTTTGAATACCTACTTCTATCGATTAACTTCTAAGTAATCTAAAAGTATATCTAAACAATAATAGGTTTCAATAATTCAAGGTCATCTAAAAGTTAGAGATATCGTGGATCAAACTGCTTCTTTTAAACTAAAAGTAGATGTAAGCAGAGAGAGGATCTTCAAGTCAGTATTGATAAAAATAGTTCCACCTCCGTTGACATACCCTATACTAGGGATTATACTAGCTCGCAGCCACTTTAACCACCAACCCCCTCAGTTTGAAGCAGTACTGAAAGAGAGGAATGATCTAGAAGGAAGATTACAACAAGAGAAACAAGTTCACTTGAGAAGACTAGCAGCTCTTAAAGAACAGATCAACATTGCTAGACTCTCCTTTGGTTCTATTATCAATATGCTTCAGAGCGAACCTAATATCGATAATGAGGTAGGCTCTGTTCTATCATTTACTGTCCACATGCAATGATTTTTTGAGCCTTCGGTTCGGGGAAAATGGGTGTTATAAAAAAGAAATGAATCGCACATGCTCATGAGTGCTTATACTGTAATTTCATTATTTACTTTAAAATTATATTAGAAATAATAAAATGATTGACCCCCTCCGCCTTCTTGTCAAGTACTGAAACTAACCTTTTATCCCTCAGAAAAGAGAAGCACTGCTGAGTCAGCTAGCTGAGATAGACGCACAACTGGGTACCCTACAGAGGGAGATACTGGATATCGAGAGGATGGAGGCGGAGAATACCAGGATAGATCTAGACGATCTCACCATTCAGGTACATACCGTACATACCGTACATACCTTACATACCATACATATCGTACATATTACATACCTTACATACCATACATACCATACATACCATACATACCATACATACCTTACATACCTTACATACCTTACATACCTTACATACCTTACATACCTTACATACCTTACATACCTTACATACCTTACATACCTTACATACCTTACATACCTTACATACCTTACATACCTTACATACCTTACATACCTTACATACCTTACATACCTTACATACCTTACATACCTTACATACCTTACATACCTTACATACCTTACATACCTTACATACCTTACATGCCTTACATACCTTACATACCTTACATACCTTACATACCTTACATACCTTACATACCATACATACCTTACATACCATACATACCATACATACCTTACATACCTTACATACCTTACATACCTTACATACCTTACATACCTTACATACCTTACATACCTTACATACCTTACATACCTTACATACCTTACATACCATACATACCTTACATACCATACATACCTTACATACCTTACATACCTTACATACCGTACATATTACATACCTTACATACCGTACATACCCAGGTAGCGGTAGGATTCTTGTCATACCTTGTTTCAGTTCAATTTTGTTGGGTTTAGGATTAGATTTTACTTTTCAATCTTAAATTATAACACGTAATTTACGATGTAAGTAAAGTTACATGTTGAATGCTAATTCTGATCCAACTGTACCTTGTTATTTAGGATATCATCTTGTTATGCAGTAGGATATTATTTCATTATTAATGCTATGTAATATGAAATCTAGATTTGGAATTAATATATTTTAAAGAATATAATTGAGAAGACGATAGCATGCAACACGTAACCCATGGTAAACAACAATATCCCAACTGTTGTTCACCAAATTGAGTAAATAATTAATTAAATAATTAATATCAATAATAATAAATTTAATAATAATTACCTTCCTACTTAATAACAAAACAATAATGGTTGTCAATGTTGCGATAGCCTCAACTTCATTTAACTGAGCTAGGCAGTTGACGACAAATCATAAAACTCACCAAAATAAAACCCTCGCGAAACCCCTGTGAACTCCAAACTGTGGCTGTTGATAACCTCAACGGAGGCTGCCTTGTGGAACTCCAAACCTTCCCTGTTATTGTCCATCAAATTATTCTGAAATTTAGAAACTATAGTAGCCTGTGAAATATTCGTAATTCACCGATTCATTATTTGTCATCAGCTTGTTGGGAAATTATCCACGATCAAGTCTTTGGTCCCTATTGTAATGCACTCTCAGTCTCAATAGACTTGCCTTTCAATAAAATGTCAGGTACTAATAGCTTAATAGTAATAAGAATTTTAAGTTACCTGTAATTCTTTGTTTACCCACACTAAATATTGGGTGGCGCTGAGTTTTATCAGTATCTCCACTTCCTGATCGTTTCTTGTGAAAGATGATGGGAACTTGTTTCTATTGACATAGCCCAAGGTACCATTCAGAACTGAAATGCATTCGGAAATAAAGGAATAGGACATATTATTATCTACTTACTTTCTTAGATAAAATTTTAAAATACCGAAAGATTAGTTTAATTTTGGTTATAATCAAGAAGCAATAAAGATAAAAACAGAAAATCACAACCTGTATTTGTTACAGTGTAGTCACTAGAGTTTGATTGAATCTCAGCTTGATTGAATCTCAGCTGGAAGAGGAAAACTTTGTCTTTGATCTCAGCTCTTTCCAGAAAATTTATAGAAGCACGATTTTTAACTTCAACCTGAAAAATACACTAGAAAATTCGACTTACAACACCTAAGATTGTAAACTCGTTGAGTCGTTCAACACCAAAATATCTTATTTTTTAAATCGCCAACATTTTCTTATGATTATAATGACGGAAATTTTAAAAATTACAAATCTTCGACTGAAACACCAAATAAACTGCGTGATTCTCGGTCATAATGCTTTCACCAACTATCCTCCAAACCTGTTTATAAGTTGCTCTGAAGTAAAAGGAGTCCCCCACCCTCAGCGGTGATATGAGCACTGGCAGATCTTGGGTAAAGTCTAGCTTCTTATATGTTATCTTAGCACCGTCCAGTGTTTGTATCGTTAGTAGTAATAAGAGCAGGTATCTTACCATACTTAATCATAAGTTTATTTACAACATGTAGTATGATATGCTAATAGAGCAGGTATCTTACCATACTGAATCATAAGTTTATTTACAACATGTGATTATAAAATATGCAGAGAAGCCATGATGATAAGCGATAATACTTTCTGAATTAAAGAAATCACCCGAAGTCTAGAAAACACTCAGGTTTACATGAAAGCATCACAAAGTTTCAAAACAGTTAAATAATATTAAGATCTAGGTTAAGGAGCTTACAAAATGTTGCTATCTGTTTGTTACGTAACAGCTCTGGGATCACGCTAACAACTATAGTTTTGTCATGTTAACAAAAATAATGTTGTCATGGTAACAACTATAACGTTGTCAGACTGATATGAATTAACATTGAACGAGGATAATCACGCTCTCTTCTCCTTTTTACATGTATTTAAATTGCCACACCTGACATATCTCCAGCTCGTAGGTACAAACCTGGTGTTTTGCAACCTGTCTGAACTTCAGATCATTTCTCGCTCATAAGCTTATGTTGTAACACTTATAGAGGGGGGGTGTCACGTCCGTCTATGTCCGCTTGTCTCATAGAATCCAAAAAAGACAGGACATAGGCGGACATAGGCGGACATAGGCGGGCATAGACGGACATAGGCGGACATAGACGGACATAGGCGGACATAGACGGACATATACGGACTTTAGCGGACATTAATGGACACCTAAATTGCTAAATAAAATGTTCAATTTTTGCTATTATATCATGTTTTTTGTCCGTTCGGTACCCTATATTTTCAAAGTCATCCTCCTCAGCCATCCTCCTCAGTCCTCCTCAGTCCTCCTCCTGGGTCCTCCTCCTCCTGGGTCCTCCTCCTCCTCCTCCTCGGTCCTCAGTCCTCGGTCCTCAGTCCTCGGTCCTCAGTCCTCCTAATCATCCTTCTCACCAGTCCTCCTAGCCTCCTCCTCAGTCCTCTCCCAGTCCCCCTCCTTCTCCTCCTCCTATTCAGTCCTCCTCAGTTCTCCTCAGTCCTCTTCAGTTCTCCTCAGTCCTCCTTCTCATTTCTCCTAAGTCCTCCTCCTGAGTCCTCCTCCTCCTCTTCCTCCTGAGTCCTCATCCTGAGTCCTCCTCCTCCCTCTCAGTCATCCTCCTCATTCATCCTCCTCAGCCATCCTCATCAGCCATCCTCCTCAGCCATCCTCCTCAGTACTCCTCAGTCCTCCTCCTTCTCAGTCATCGTCAGTCCTCCTCCTCAGTCCTCCTCCTGAGTCCTCCTCCTCCTGAGTCATCCTCCTGAGTCCTCCTCCTCCTCCTCCTGGGTCTTCCTCCTGGGTCCTCCTCCTGGGTCTTCCTGAGTCCTCTTCAGTCCTCTTCCTCCTCCCCTCCTCAGTTCTCCTTCTACTCCTCCTCCTCGTCCTCAGTCCTCCTCATCAGTCCTCAACAGTCCTCCTCCTCCCCAGTCCTCCTCCTCCTCCTCCTCCTCCTCTTGGGGCCTTTTCCTGGGTCCCTATACAATTTGATAAAATAAGTTAAAGCTATTAATAGCTTTAGTGTGATTAATAAGTTATATTCCCTATATTTCGTTAAATAGGTACTGTGCCTACTGTGTACCCTATGTAACTGTTTCAAAGATATGTTGACGACACAAATAGATCTGGATTTAGCGACCGGATTTGGTGACTGGATTTAATTAAATATTGGGAATATTGGTGAGATCTTGATTCTTTAGACCTCTTATATGTCCGCTAATGTCCACCAATGTCCGTCCGAGTCCGGCAATGTCCGTCCGGGTCCGCAAATGTCCGTCCGAGTCCGCCAATGTCCGTCCGAGTCCGCCAATGTCCGTCCGAGTCCGCCAATGTCCGTCCGTGTCCGCCAATGTCCGTCCGTGTCCGCCAATGTCCCAAAAAACACGTCCGTTGTCTCATAGAATCCAAAAAGGACAGGACATAGGCGGACATAGACGGACGTGACACCCCCCCCCCCCCCTCCTATAGAGTTATAGGGCGCTTAAAGAGTTATAGGGCGCTTATAGAGTTATAAGGCGCTTATATAGAGTTATAGGGCGCTTATAGAGTTATAGGGCGCTTATAGAGTTATAGGGCGCTTAAAGAGTTATAGGGCGCTTAAAGAGTTATAGGGCGCTTATAGAGTTATAAGGCGCTTATATAGAGTTATAGGGCGCTTATAGAGTTATAGGGCGCTTATAGAGTTATAGGGCGCTTAAAGAGTTATAGGGCGCTTATAGAGTTATAAGGCGCTTATATAGAGTTATAGGTCGCTTATAGAGTTATAGGGCGCTTATAGAGTTATAGGGCGCTTATAGAGTTATAGGGCGCTTATAGAGTTATAGGTTAAACTAAAATGATGAATTTTTGCTATGATTGAATATAGCTCCCTGATGAAACAGGCTTCTTGGGAATTAACAGGGTGGCCACTAGCACAGAAGCGTATGCCCACACACAACCCTTTAATGTTCCTGACAGTATGAAATTGCGAGAAACTACTAGAAAAATTAATCCTATATCAGCACTGCGCAAACCGGAGAAGAAGAAGGTGGCAGGTGCAAGTGTGTGATGGAGCGTAACAAGACAACATAAGAACAGTGGGATAGGTAGACCTAGAGTACAATATTACAATGATAAGAGTGAAACATAAGAACAGTGGGATAGGTAGACCTAGAGTACAATATTACAATGATAAGAGTGAATCATAAGAACAGTGGGATAGGTAGACCTAGAGTACAATATTACAATGATAAGAGTGAAACATAAGAACAGTGGGATAGGTAGACCTAGAGTACAATATTACAATGATAAGAGTGAATCATAAGAACAGTGGGATAGGTAGACCTAGAGTACAATATTACAATGATAAGAGTGAAACATAAGAACAGTGGGATAGGTAGACCTAGAGTACAATATTACAATTATAAGAGTGAAACATAAGAACAGTGGGATAGGTAGACCTAGAGTACAATATTACAATGATAAGAGTGAAACATAATAACAGTGGGATAAGTAGACCTAGAGTACAATATTACAATTATAAGAGTGAAACATAAGAAAAGTGGGAAAGGTAGACCTAGAGTACAATATTACAATGATAAGAGTGAAACATAAGAACAGTGGGATAGGTAGACCTAGAGTACAATATTACAATGATAAGAGTGAAACATAAGAACAGTGGGATAGGTAGACCTAGAGTACAATATTACAATGATAAGAGTGAAACATAAGAACAGTGGGATAGGTAGACCTAGAGTACAATATTACAATGATAAGAGTGAAACATAAGAACAGTGGGATAGGTAGACCTAGAGTACAATATTACAATGATAAGAGTGAAACATAAGAACAGTGGGATAGGTAGACCTAGAGTACAATATTACAATGATAAGAGTGAAACATAAGAACAGTGGGATAGGTAGACCTAGAGTACAAAATTGCAATTATAAGAGTAAAACATAAGAACAGTATTACATATTTCCACAGGTAATACTATGGCTGATATAGCATTTTCACAACTGTGCAGTAAACTTACAACACCTTCATTCTCCATCACAAAAACTTGTCGGTAAAAATATTATGCGGACTGCGGAGGGGGAGGCGATGCTCTGTGAACTTTAATAGGTCCTAATGAGCGAACCATAAACCAGAGCCAGGTTTTGCAGAACTCAATTCTTTTTGTGTTGATTAAGATTTAAACAATAAAATTAACAATTTATAGCTTTATTAGTTTATAGATAGCGTGTGAAATAAAAACTAAAAATGAATTTGGGAGAACAGAAATTTTTAACAGTATCACAAGAAAGAATCGTAATTATGAATTGAAAAATTGAGAAACTTTAGAGAGCATTTCATAATTGTCTTTTTGTCAAGTAAAGAGTTTAAAATGCTGACATAATGATAAACACCGAAAATATGTTCAAAATCATCCATGCCTTTTACAATTATGTAGCACCCAAATGATGGAACTTACAACGGTTGATCTTTGTCATTTTATATGTTCATCATTTTTGATAGTCTCTAAATGTCACAATCGAAAATTTGTTGAACTTTCTGAAGGTTGTTGTTGAAACATCTGGTAAGAATATTCTAGCAGATTATAAAATATCATCTTAAGTTTTTATCTATAAGATGTTGATAATCAATGGATCGTTGTAATAATCGCTCATAAAAAGACATTTACAGTAAATATTTTGTACATAATTATCACCAGCCATCTGTTTCACTGTTTGGGGCAGAAAAATTATAAACAGAGCATGGCAACCTGATCATGTGGTCGACCACGTGGTAGTCGGTAGTGTGGTGGTTTGATTCTGGGTTCACGATCATATCATGGTCTATGGTTTGATCCTGAGCCCTGCCCCGAACTCATCGACCGACAACCATGATTTCTGGAAATATTTCCTGCCACTCTAATGTCTTTCTCCGCAGTTCCTGAAGAAATCAGAGCAATGCGAGGCGCTGCAAACTCAACTAAGTGGCGTGGAATTGGACAAGTCCCGTTTAAACAAGTTTGTAAAACATTTTCTCTTTCACTTTCACTTTCTCTCTCACTTTCTCTTTCACTTTCTCTTTCATTTTATCTTTCACTTTATCTTTCACTTTATCTTTCATTTTATCTTTTATTTTATCTTTCACTTTATCTTTGACTTTATCTTTTGCTTTATCTTTCACTTTATCTTTCACTTTATCTTTCACTTTATTTTTCAATTTATCTTTCATTTCATCTTTCACTTTATCTTTCACTTTATCTTTATCTTTATCTTTCACTTTATCTTTCACTTTATCTTTCACTTTATCTTTCATTTTCTCTTTCATTTTATCTTTCACTTTATCTTTCACTTTATCTTTCATTTTATCTTTCACTTTATCTTTCACTTTATCTTTCACTTTATCTTTCACTTTATCTTTATCTTTATCTTTATCTTTATCTTTGTCTTTCTCTTTCACTTTATCTTTCACTTTATCTTTCACTTTATCTTTCACTTTATCTTTCACTTTATCTTTCACTTTATCTTTCACTTTATCTTTCACTTTATCTTTCACTTTATTTTTCATTTTATCTTTCACTTTCATTCCAACTTTCACTTTCACCTCAGTTTCACTTTTACTTTCACTTTCAATGTGTTAACTATCATCTCCCAGGCGACAAAGTGAGCTGGAATCCACACTAAATGATTCAAGATCAGCCAGGGAGGACTTTGAGGAGAAGTACGAGGATTTGAGACATGTTCTACACAAAAAACAGGTGCGATAATGTTCTGGAATATCATGTTGGTTTGAATAGGGACGACAATACTGAATACAGACGTTTTAGATTTCAATGCTAATTCGAGATTGACACGATGAAAAGCCCTGCATGACAAAATAAAAATGAAAGTAAAATGTATTTCAGATCGAAATAGACACACTGAGAGCCCAGCTAAACAAAGTTAAAGTGAAACTGGGAATCATCGAAGAGGACAAGGATACTGTGGAGGCTAAGTCACGTGGGCTCAAGGTTTGTTTATCAACTCTGATTAGTTAATCACTTAATTGATTAGCAACAACTTGTCTTTAATTGGGTAATAAGGTTGTTGGTTAGTTTGTTGTCACCACTTTATTAACTAGCAACAACTTGTCTGTAATTGGGTGATTAGGTTGTAATTGGGTAATTAGGCTGTTAGTTTGTTTGTTGTCATCACTTTTTTAGCAAGTAATCATTATATTAGTTATTTATCTCTTAATATGTCTTTTCCCTGTTAATTTAAGTGTTTAATCACCTAATTGGTTTCTAATAAGATAATGACCCTATAACAGGAGCAGAATGACCAGCTGAATGACGATGCCCAGGAGTTGGACCAGGGTCTCCGGGAAACCAAGAAGAAGTTACACCAGAAAGAGGTTGGTACTAAAAACTCTAAGATGCTACTGCAAAATTCAAATTAAATTTTTAATTAAATTCGCACAAAATATACGTACTTTTGTTCTGCGCAGTCACAGAATTGATCTTGTATCAAATGCGACCTTATAACTTGAAACTAACAACATCCTCTGCTGGTATTTATACAATCAGAGGAAACTTTATTCACGTTTGTTAGAATTGTATTACTCATCAGTGGTACTATTCTTAACACCTTCATCTTTTATGATTTGATTAACATGAGTTTAAGATTCTGTTTTTGTACACTGCCGTTATAAAATACACAGCCAATGAATTTGGTTGTTGTTGCGTTTTTGTTTAATATTGTATTTGCTTCATCGGAATCATACTAGATGGATTTATAGTGATTAATAACATGAAACCATGATATAGAAGTCACTATAAATATTGATTAGTGCGCATTAGTGCATCGCCCCACTTGGTGCACTATAAGTGTGCACAGTCTCCCCATTTGGTGCACTATAAGTGTGCACAGTCTCCCCACTTGGTGCACTATAAGTGTGCACAGTCTCCCCACTTGGTGCACTATAAGTGTGCAATGTGCATAGTCTCCCCACTTGGTGCACTATAAGTGTGCATAGTCTCCCCACTTGGTGAACTATAAGTGTGCATAGTCTCCCCACTTGGTGCACTAAAGTGTGTATAGTCTCCCCCCACTTGGTGCACTATAAGTGTACACAGTCTCCCCACTTGGTGCACTATAAGTGTGCACAGTCTCCCCACTTGGTGAACTATAAGTGTGCATAGTCTCCCCCCACGCAGTATTATAATCCGAGTAGAGCCTCAGTACGATGCTGCAGAAACAGTTGGAGGACTGGGAGAACAAGTGCAATCAGTTGTCTCAGCAGGTAGATCACGTGACATGTGACGTCATCGGTGTTTCTGTGACGTCATCAGTGTTTCTGTGATGTTATCAGTGTTTCTGTGACGTCGTTAGTGTTTCTGTGGCGCTATTTTTAATGAAATTTTCTATCTTGTCATATTATTTTGTAATGTGAAAATTCTTGAATCTAGCCCATAATTTAAATAAGACTATTCTTCAATCTTCAATAGTGTAACCAATAAATTAAACTTGGACAAATCCCTTTAAAATTCTTGCAATTTGAAACTACTAAACTACAACTTTCTGCATGCTATTTATGTGATTTATTGGTCAGCTTCCAAACGTTCAAATTTTAAAATATCATAAATATTTTCTCTGTTTTACATAAGAACAATTTGAATTGCTTGTTATGTCCCTGAGCTAAGAACAAACCGCACATCTCATATAACTTATCGTGGGTGCATTTAGTTAGTGAATAACCGCATTGTTTAAAAAACCGCATGTTGCAATTTTCTGAGAATTAAAATTGTAATCTTCATGATATTTAGATATTGCTTTGCAAGCAACTGACATGGTCGAATTATGAGCTTTTATTTTTCTGCTCTTGTAACTTTGTAATACTACTTGCTGTAGTTTTACTTTCATTATGTTATGTAGTGTGTACAACGTGTGTTTATACTTGTAAATTGAACTGTTCTGTGGTTTCTATAGTTGCATGGTTGGATTATTTGATCGGAATCTTAAGTCTCTGCTCTGGAATGCTTGGAATGCTCTTCTCAACTGTTCTTCTGTTATATTACCGCTATAAATCATGTTACATATACAAAGGATTTGAGTTTGAAATGGGTGAGTTTTTGTAGCGATTTTGAAGTAGACAGAGCATGATGAAAGTTGAACAATGTTGAACAATGTTGAACAATGTTGAACAATCATCCTGTACTTACCTTCTTACCTTCTCCAAAATCCCATAAATTATCAGCTATTTAAGAAAATACCCCAGTTAATAACCAATTAACCAATTAATAACCAATTAATTAACCAATTAACTCTCAATTAACACTGAAACAGATATCTCAGCTTCAGAAGGGGTTATCCAGGAGTACAATCCAGATAGGAATACTAAACGAGGAGATGAGGGTTGCTATAAGGGCTCTCCTCGACATCAACAGAAACATTGACTCTGAGAGCTTGGAGGAACATGTGGGTATTTGTATGTTTAGTCTGTTTGTTTGTTTGTTTGCAGGATTATTTCCTGTTCAGTTTTCGTCTCTTTATTTTGATTTAACCTTGGGATATGTTCTAAGCAAGTATTTGTAACGATAAACATTGGTCCGTGTAGGATACCCTGCTTACTGTCCACTGCTACTACTGTTATAATAATATAGCTGTATGATATTACTTTACCCTCAGTTGGAAGCACTACAAGACATCTCCAACGAGTTGGAGAGTCTAGAGCTAGCTTTGGAGAAGACTATGGGAAGTCAGTACGACCTCGGTGATATGCCTCGTGAGTAGTTTGATTAATGAATTAATAAGTTAATTGGTTAATTAGTGGGTTAATTGGTATGGAAATCTCAAAATCATTCACATGTCAAAACATATATAACCTGATCCCACCAGTATCCAGTTATATTAAAGTTACGTAGAATAGAGTGAAACTGGACAGGGTTTCTAAAACTAAGGGGTGGCAGTGGTTTAGGGGGGTGTCGGAGGAGTATATAAATTATATTAACAACCTTTTCCCCTTGTTAGCTCTTTTGATAAATTGCATAAATGTTTCCGTCATGCTTAGTTTCTAGGAATCTTCTGAAACTTTAGACAATAACAATCCTGCTCCCTCCTTTTATTAGATATTTCTTTTGTTCTATTTTCATTAACTCTGGATGCACATGGTTATGGGGTTTATTGTCCGTGTGAAGTAGCTGAGGGGTGTGGAGGTGCAATCAAGGAAACTTACTCTTTGTTTGAGAAACTTATATTTTATTAATTACAGTTGTTCTTTGTAGCATTTCCTGGTGTTTTGGGACCTCTGAATTATACTTTACATGCTTCCGTTTGCCATTGTTACTTGTTAGCCTCTTACCTCCACGGCTGAACTTGAGTTCATAATTAATTTCTGTTGAAACATGTGTGATGTGTTGGTATGCTCATAGACATCAATCTAGTTGTGCAGCAGCTTAAGCATAACATTGAAAGCTTCAAGTTTTCCTTGAGTAGATTTATATTTGAAATATTTGCAGAAAATCTAAGAATTTTTAACAAATTGATCTGTATAAAATTCAGATATTTATTTTCCAAGTCAATATATTCTTTTGGCACGAGATTGTATGAAATTGCTATCTTATTCCTAACTTGCTTCACTACCAGGACACCAATCATGACACCTCCCTCCACCTACCTCAGAAGCCATGTTCACCCTTATAGCCCTCTCCCTGACCCTACAAGTCAGCAGTAAAGCTATCACAGACACCCAATTCCTTAGATTACACCTGGAAGACAGATCCCTTGAAGAAGAGCGAGGTGTTGATAACTGCAGTGAGAGTCCTAACTGTCCTGTTCTTGCTATGAGCTTTGGGTGTGGTGATCCCAGAGGAGTGGTGAGAGGAGTGTGCCACTGTTCCTGTTCTTTAGAGGCCCTCAAGAGGAAGAATTCTGGAAGTGAAGTTGCAGAGAATGAAACTGAGGAGGAGGAGAAACGTGACGTCTGTGATGAAAACCCAAGCTGTCCTAAGATTGCTAGCGACTATGGATGTGAAGATCCACAAGGTTATGTAAAAGGACTGTGTCCCTGCTCCTGTAGTTCTGAGGTTCTGAATGTAGCGAAAAGGGACTCTGAAATAGCTGAGAATGAGACTGAAAAGGAGGAAGTAGCGAAAAGGGACTCTGAAATAGCTGAGAATGAGACTGAAAAGGAGGAAGGAACATTGAAGCGTGATGTCTGCGAAGAGAAGGCTAGTTGTGCTGCTATTGTTGCAAACTTTGGTTGTGATGATCCACAAGGGACGGTAAAAGGAATGTGTCCTTGCTCTTGTAGCTCTTTAAAGGTTCTGAACGTAGAGAAAAAGAGCCTTTCAATAACAGAGAATGAGAAGAAGGAAGAAGAGAAACTGAGGAAACGAGATGTGAATACAGAGCAGCTATTCGTGAGGAACCCTTGCACAGAGAACCCACACTGCCCCACGTTCGTCAACAACTTTGGCTGCGACGACGCGCGCGGAATAATGAAACTAGTCTGTCCCTGTACTTGCACTCCACAAGACAACAGTGAGAACACTCACTACGACGACAACACCAACGACAACACCTTTGGCATCTCTGCAGAAGAGGACATCATGTTAACTGAACATAACCTGCGGAGAAGAAGACACGGAGTTCCTGATCTCACCTACGACAGGTCACTAGCTCGGGACTCCGCGGACTGGTGTGATACCCTAGCTACCACTAACACCTGGGCGCACTCCGACCAGTCTAACTCAGTAGAGGGGTACGGGGAGAACCTGTATTACTCCTACGGCATGCCTCTAGATAGAGTACCTGCTACTGCAGTTAAGAAGTGGTACGATGAGATTAATCTTTATGATTTCTCCAGTCCAGGCTTCAGTTTCCCAACGGGACACTTCACCCAGCTGATATGGAAGGAGACTACTCATGTTGGGTGTGCGGTGACGGATCCGGGGGTTAATGAGGAGGGGAAGAGTTATGCGTGTTGTCAGTATACTCCTCCAGGGAATTGGAGGGGGGCTTTCGAGGAGAACGTTCCTCCTCCTAATTACTGAGTATTTAATTAGTAATTGATTAATATTTAATTAGTTATTAATTAGTTATTAATTAGTTATTAATTAGTTATTAATTAGTTATTAATTATTTATTAATTAGTTATTAATTAGTTATTAATTAGTTATTAATTAGTTATTAATTAGTTATTAATTAGTTATTAATTAGTTATTAATTAGTTATTAATTACTTATTAATTACTTATTAATTACTTATTAATTACTTATTAAGTAAGAAATTACTAATATCTGAGGAATTTTGTGATATTAATACTGAATTATTACTAAGTATTCTGTAATATTTATATCGAATAATGGTCCAAACAAAATACAATGATAGAACATTTTTGAACATTTTTTTTTTTTTAGAACATTTTTTGAACATTTAAAATATAATTTGAAACATTGCAGTAACGTTATTCAAATCTCAAACAGAAACAGTATATTACAAAGTTTTGTGTTTTGATCATATGATCGTGGATGCATATTGATTGATTGCATAATTTTGAATTTTATTGATGGTGATTGTGAGTGAGAAGATTTTTGGGTGCCAGCCAGTAACTCTGTCAAATGAACAGCTCATTGAAGAGCGAATGAGCGCAAGCGCAGGAACAGCAGAGAGGGTGGCACAAAACGGCACACACGGAAAGGACGAAACAAAAAAGAAAAAACGCCGCGCGCGGTAAGCTTGCCTATGTCTGAGAGCTGATGTTACCTGGCAAGAGGCCTCAAAGGAGGTGCCGTGGTGGAGTGTGAAGGGAAAGTTCGAGAGCACGGCAGCTCTAACTGATGATGATGATTGAAGAAGGAGGTCGAGCGGGAAGCTCAGAAAAAGCTAAACAGGAAGGATCCAGCTGAGGTCTGACTCATGTCAGGAAGTGATGAAAAACTCACAGACAAAATCATCGGTGGCTGTCTACCCCGTACGTAGGCAGTGTCCAAGATTTCAGGCATCAGGATACACTGGAGCAGTTCAGAGCTGATTACGACCAGGGTCCTCACGGATACCCTGTCTTGGAGGTCGAGCCAATGCCCTGCGTTCGGTAATTGTGTCTACTGATATAGCCTTCATACTTTCCCTACTAACAGTCACTGTAACCCTATCACTCGGCAGGCCCCACGGCTCCTACATGGACGCACGGCCGGGAGCCCATGTAGGGATAAAAGTGACCGCAAGAAATCCATCACATCCGTCACAGATCCAAAGCTGGAAAAGAAAAAAAGGCGGATAAGATCCTATGTTTTTATTCTTAACGATTGCACCTGCAGAATTTTTCTGAATATGAATTTTACTAATTTTATTATTTTTATTATATTTAGTAAGTTATTTAGTAAAGTAGTAAGTAGATTTTTAAGCTGGAACTTTGAAAAGTGAGACTTAGGGTATGAAAGCTACTTTCTATTGACTACAATATTTTGTTCATTGAATACTATATTGTATCTTATTATACTCATAACACGAAAATAATGAAGGGTTTTAATTTTACTAAACTGATTTGCGTAACAATCATAGCCAACTGAAATCGGAGTTCAATGCTAATTTCTAATTTAAAATGTTAAAAATCAATAATTTAGTCAGTAACCGGTTACCGGGGTGATAAAATAAACCATATTTTCGAAATAATGATGACTCAGTTGAAAGCGGTGACCATGCTGCGCCTAATTGTAGCCCAAAATTATCGAATAGTTATTTTTGTAAAACTTAAAACACGTTTTGTGGGTGGTCTATATTTTGACTTAAAGAACTTTTTAGTAAGAGGATGCGAAAATTTATTTTTCTTTTTTTAAAACCTAATGTCTTTGTTAGATACCGATGATTTGTGCCACAAGTTTGCCACAATATTAACAAAGAATGTGTCTTTTCAGTTCGTGGAACAAGTGGAGAGAAGATCTCACAATTGCTACAAGAACTAGATTTCTGTAGAGAAAACATGGTACGTGCATAATTTTTTCAACAACTGATATTAAATTTCAATTAATCAATTATTGTACTCCACAAATATTTGTCTAATTGACTTATTGATTAATTTAATCATTTATTATTTGACACTTCCTAATTTTACTCCTTATACAGTAGTATAATTTTAATCAATTATTTAGTGCAATTTTTACTTTTACCACATATTTTACCCCATATACAGTATTATTATATAGTATTATTTACAATTGTTCAGGGACCCAAGAAAAGTGGGAAGGGTAAGTCATATGTTATGTGATTGTATTTGTTTTATATTTTGTATAGTGATTTATATACTATGTTATATATTATATAATATCTTATATGGCAGTAAAATGTTCCTTCTCTCACCTATATTTTGTAAGTGCAATGTCTCATACAAACTTCACGTGCAGCATTTTACATTTACCATGTGATTTTCTTCAAACATTACAAATTTTATCAATATTTTGTGGTTAATTTTCTGGCAACCGCGAACACGACGGCGGTGATCTGTGATTTCATCCATGATCGATAACAAGATATCGTTGATAAAACCACAAACCGTTGTTTATATCTTGCGTCTTAAACTTCAAGTGGATATAGCATTAAAAGCTATGTCAGGAAATAGAGCTTTTAGATAATAACAATAGCAATGCATGAAAGCATGTACGATTCTTCACTCTGCTCTTAGTCAAATTTCGTTGTGTAGTGATCCATTATTACCTTAACTATTCTGATCTGATGTGACCCGATATGTAGTGCAATGTGATTTCTCGTAATGTAACGTGATATTAAATGTCATAAATCCTCGTAACGTAGCACAATACTCCATATAAGTGCAGCTGAAAAACTACAAGTTACTAATAGCGAGCAGTATCTACAGACCATCTCCGAGACGAGCCGACCCGGGACCCCGGACACCGCACCCTAGAACTCCAAACCTCCACTCCAGAAGAAGCACAGAGCTCCGTCTCCTTGGAAACTGCTAGAAGCCCTCATGGTTCGAGTGACGGGTACATCACGTCGGAGTCTCCCAAAAGCTGGATTTATCCTAGTCAGGGTTCCAGCCAGGATATCTACCCGAGCCAGTCTTCTAGTCAAGACTTTTAGAACTGAGATTATCAAATGTCTGGGGTGTTCTTGAGATATTAGGACTGCACAATCTATACATGAATTTTACTGAGTATAGTTGCGCGCGTGGTTGTATAGTTTATAGTCTATACTTCTATAGTAGTTTTGATACAAGTATAACATAATCCATACTGTACCCTCTAACTTTAGTCAACTTCTCTGACTTATCACCTCTTTATATAGGCGTTTAGGTATCAGTGTAGATCATGACCTATCGTATTTCTTATTTTGGCTTAATCTCATCTAATTGAGTAACCAGCTCAATCATATGCTCGTAACAGTATTTTACTGTACCAATTTGGACAAATTTAGATCTAGTAATTATATTCGTATATTACCTGTATTGATGGGGCTCCACCTATCGTCTTTGGAAAGAATAGAAGGGAACATTTTACTGCTGTATTTTTCAATAGATTGATATGTTACACAATATATCAGTCAATGTTATTTCAAATCTTTACCAATATGACAAACTGCAAGTTGTTTAAACTATTGTTGGAAGTAAGTGGGTATAACAGAAAGGGTATAATTTTATCATGACCACGGAGTATCCGCTTTAACAATTAGTTAGTAAATTAATTAATAATATAAGTTAATTATTAAACTAATCAAACTTGCCAGACTCACCCACACTCCCCCAGCTCATGGTGGAATGAAAGGAGCCCCAGAACAACACAGCGCTTACAAACGTCTTCAGCACCAACTAGAATGTGGCCACCAGGTAACGTAGTTAAATGTAAACGTGTTGTTTTTGAAATTCATTTATTTTATACATGGCTTTTTTTCTTGTATAGTCTAGACGACTCCGTCAATGTTCTTCCAGACAAATTCCTGTTTAATTCCTGTTTAATTCCTGTTTAATTCCTGTTTAATTCCTGTTTAATTCCAGGAACGTCTCCACCTCAACTCTCAGCTCAGCCTCATCACAGAACAGTGCAGGATGTATAAAGATGCTCTGTTCGAGAAGGAGCGGCAGCTGGGAGATGCTGAGTCTATATTAGCTAATGTACAAGAACAGTTTGAACCAGTTACTGGACCTAGCAAGACTCGACACAAGCCCATATACCCGCTCACTATGTCACTTGAGAACATGAGGTCTATTATAGCGGAGAGAGATGATCTGATAAGAACTCTGAAGTCAGAGCTGAAGAGAACATCTGCACAGACAAAAGCTGTTATCTCACAAAACGTGCACTGTAACGAGGTTATGAGCACTGATCGGGAGACTATTGATAGTTTACAGAAGCTGTTGGATGGGAGTGAGACTCAGAGAGCATTACTGCTTGCTTCTTATAAATCCATGGCTGGGGAGCGGATCAGACAGCTGTTCGAGGATAAGTGTGAGCAGACTGAGACTGATTATCTGTTTGAGGCTTTGTGTGCGACTAAAACTGATGGCTCTGATTCCACCGATTCTATGACAAGACATAAAAATGACGCAGACCGGCTCAAGAAAGTGGTGAAGGCACTGAAGAAGGCATTAGATGGAGAAGTTGAAAAGAGAAAGAATGCATCCGTTGAATTCGATAATTTGAAGTCAGACATTCGAAAACTTGCAATTAAGTTACAAAACGATGGCCAACTTCATATCCCGACTGCTGACGCTGACATACAAGCAGATGTCTCAAAGAGAGATGGCATGTGCCAAACGTATCTCCCAGGCCAAACCCCAAGAGACTCCAAAAAGTCTAAAACCAAAGCATCTTCCACGGAAATGAACGTGCAAACAGATGAACAAATAGAATCTGAACAGTCCCCTGAAAAGACTCCATCTGAAGAAGAACCTGAATCTGAGACTGAAGCCACACCTGCTGACCTAGGTGATCCAGTAGAACTGTACCGGGCTAAACGGGCAGCTCAGAAAAGCATGAAGAAGCTGATGAAAGAGAACCTGAAACTAAAAGATGCTCTCCAGGCGTCTGTACATGAGAATCAGGAAATGAGGGAGAAAGTTAAGATGTTGCTGCAGGGTGATGCTTCTGCTATAGCTACAGAGCTTGAAAAGACGCTCGATTCAAACGCAGAGAGTCGCAAGGTTATCAGTGATCTTCTCAATGAAAAAGATAATTTATCACAGAAAGTGGATGGTGAGTTGGAGCCTAAGGTATCCGCTCTGACAGAAGAAATAGAGAGATACAAGATGGAAATAGCACTTCTTAACCAGAAATACGCCACATGCGAGTATCAAAGAAAAGTTTTACAAGACGAAAAGGAATCCTTTAAACCCGAACCGCCTGGTTCCACCACTGACGGAGACGTTCTCAAAGAAAACATACGACTCCAAACTAAAGTACACAATATATACCAAGAGAACTTGAAACTAAAGTCCAAAAACAGAGGTCTTAAAGACGATCAAGGCTTCGGAGCCTCCACCACTGACCAAGTGACTGATAAGGAGAGAATTAGTACTCTGGAGGAGATGTCAGAGAAGATAGAAAACTCTCTAAGTGCTTCCTACAACCGTGAGGATGTTGATGCTCTTAAAGAACAAGTTCTTGAGCTTCAAAACGCTCTAACGGATGCTTTGGACACTATCAAGGAGTATGAAGCTGGAATGAAGGAGGTACCCGCTGCAGCTGCTGCTGTGGAACAGGCGGCACCAGAAGAGGAACCAGAAGAGGAGGAGGACGACGTAAGCCCCCAAGATAACGAGCACGCAACTACTCAAACTGAGGTGCCAGCTGGCCCAACACGTGTACAGCTGTTGGTTAAGATTGCTATCATTGGCACTAAACTTACTCATCGTACCAAGCAGATAGAGGCATTAGAGGCAGCTATAAAAGAGAAGGAGAGGGCATTTGTTGAAAAGGACGACGTTATCAAAGCTAAGGATGAAGAAATTGCTGAGATGGATGAGAAGGTAAAAGTAAAAGAAGCTGAATTGGACGAAAATAGAACAGAGATAGCAACCTTCCAGGAAAAGATGGATGAGTTTGAGAAGACGCTTGCAGCTAAGCAGAAAGAGATCGAAGATTTGGTATTCCAGGCTGAGGAAGAAGCCAGTAAAACTGCATCAGCTGGAGCGAATTTGGAAGATTTGGCAGCTTGGAAGACCAAATACGCGGAGGTAAAGGCACAAAAGAAGAAACTTCAGGGAGCTATAAACTTTGCTAACAAAACATTGGAAGAGTACAAAGTCAATGTAGACATGCTGACTGGAAAGGTTGTTCAATATGATGAGGACTTGAACGCATTCTTTGTTGAAATCTCAGATTCCTTGAAGAATGACCCTGTTTGTTGCAACAAAAACTTTGGGTACATCTCAGAAAAAGATAAACTTCAGTCTGCCAAAAATGTGATCTTTAAGTTTATTGAGTTCACTACTCAGTACAGCACGAAGCAGGAAGATCTGACGAAAGATAACAAGACAACTAAGGATGCACTGACAGTTGCAACAGATAAAGCGGACGATCTGGTTAAGAAGCTCGAGAATACCAATGGTGATCTTGAGAGAACAAAAAATATTCTTGAGACTTCACAACTTGAGCTGTCTCAAAAGAACTCTGAACTTAACAAGATGAAAACTGATTACGACAAAGTCGCTCTGGACTTTGATAACCTGACCGCGGAGCATGGTGCTTTGAAAGATGATAACGAGAAGAACAAAGATACTATTGGAAACTTGGAGGCGGAAAATAATGACCTGAAGATCCAAGTCGAGAATGCTGGTCAAGTTATTGCAGAAAAAGACAAGACTCTAGCAGAGAAGGAACAGTCGCTTGCTGTAGTAGAAAAGGACATAGAGACCGCAAAATCTCAGCTGAAGAATCTATCAGAGGCGGCAGAGAAAGAAGAACAACAAAAAGAGGAAGAGGAGGCTGCGGCTGCGGCTGCGGCTGAGGAGGAAGAATTACCTGAAGATGAGGAAGAAGTTAAAGAAGGAGAAGAAGGTGATGATGCTAGCAAATCGTTAAAATCAGTGTCGAAATCTTCCAAAAAATCAAAGGCTGAATCAATCAAAGCAGCTTCTATAAAGGAGCAGCAACTCTCCATAAAAGAACAAAAGGGATCCCCTCAGGGTAAAATTATCTTCGCCAAACTCGGAAGTATCGAAAAAGAAGTAGCTGGGATCAACAGAGACATTCTCAAAACCAAAACAGCTATCGGCGAACTTGAAAACGCCGAGGAGGAGGATGCAGATGACGATGAAAAGAGAAAGGAATGCTACGAAAGTCTGAACAATCTCGTTGACAGACTAGCTGAAAAGAACAAGATGTTATCCCAGCTCTGTGCTGAAAATGGAGTTAAGAGTAGACCAAGGAAGTCACGTGGAGGACAGACTGAGTACACGATACCTCCAAAGGATGAAGTTGACATGCCAGGCCAGTTACACGAACCTTCAGAGAGACACAGCTCCACAGATACCCTTTCTAACGTGACGGATATAACAGATAAATCGACTCCTGTTGGTAATCTGGACTCCAGGGTTCAGGAACTTGAAGAGCTGTTGAATATGAAGGATCTAGAGGTGAAAGAGCTGACCGACAGGATTGATTCTCTATTGGCTGCGCCTTCTCCTGCTCCTTCTGACCATGCTCATGATGATCCTCAATCTCATGATATTGATTATTGGAAAGAAAGGTCCATTAAAAATGAGGGTTACAAAAAGCGGTGTTCAGTTCTTGAGAAGGACTTGAAATCGTCCACGCAAGAAGTAAGCAATCTAAGGAAGCAGCTTATCAAGAATAAATCGAGAGAACAGTCGGTCCGTGAACCATCTGTGAAGGAAAACCTGGACGAACAGTTGAAGAACCTCCAGAAACAGCTTGAGGAAGATAGAGCCAAACAGGCGGAGATTCAGGAGAGCATCAAGAATTGTCAAGACGAACAGAAAATGGATCAGGAGCAACTGAACACAGCCCTGCAAAGGAAGATTGAGGATAAGCAAAGAGCAGTTCAAGACCTTATGGCTAAAATGAGTCAGCAGAAAGATAAGCTAGCTTCGGAGGGAAAGGATCGAGTTGACATCAAGGATGAGATTGAGAAGGTGCTGGGAGAATCAGCCCAAACGTATGTTGATCTTCAAAAGAAATTTCAAAGCCAGGTATCTCAGCGGGATGAAGAAATCTTGAAACTGAAAAGTGATGTCAGAGATAGTAACAAAATTAAAACTGATGCACAGCGTGAAATCGAAGATAAAGCAATGGCTATGGAAAGGCTCGATCACAAAATCCAGCTTTTGGAGCAGGATCTCAACGATGATAGTCGAACATACAAAGCGTTCAAGCAAGAAATCTACGAACTGAAAGACATAGTAGAGGACAAAACCAAGAAAGCTAAAGCCTTCGAAACTGAGCTGAATGCTTTAAGAAGTACTGTCACAAAAAGTGAGGATAATGTGGATGTTGCTATAAAGAGGATGAGAGAAGCAGAGCTTGCTCGCCATGAGATCTCTGAGAAAAGTCTTGAAAACCAGAGGAAGTTGGAGGAAGAGGTCAAATCCAAAGAGAAGTATGTACGGGATGCCGCTGCTAAAGTCAAGGCGATGGAGGCTCAAGTAGAATCATTAAAGAATGTGCTTGTCAAGAAACATGACTTTGAGGCTAATGAAAGCAAAATGCTGGAGCTTGATATTGATCCTGAGATTGCAAAGACCATGAACAACGAGGATTTGTTAGAAAAGATTAAAAAGCTAAGCGAACAGTTAATGGAAACAGAGAAGAAACGAATCGACCTTAAAGTTGACTTCAAGGCGACTCTCTGTGAGCTTGAAGCTCTGAATTCCCTGCTTGAGGACAAAGAACGGGATCGTGACCGACTTGTGAAACTAACTGCTCAGCTGAGAAAAGAAATTGACCGTTTGAAGGCTGAGGAGAGCTCACAATCTATTAAATCCGAACAAAGTCAGTACCAATTCTACACTGATGAAGAGTATAATGATCTCCAGGACGAGCTGCAGAAGATGGCTGATGAGCTGAGAGTTGCTGATGATCAGAAGAAGGGACTTCAGAAGCAGAGGAAACAAGAAAAAGTACAATTTGATCGCATAAGAGCTGAACTAGCAAGGAGGATCGAGGAGTACGCGTGCTTACTGGCAGTTCATAATAAACTGGAGAATTCCATAGCAAATCTTGAGGATCAGTGCATGCAGAAGGGGTTAGAGGTTGAAGAACAGAGGATTGAGATTCTGAGTCTTAAAGACAGTTTAGCACACGCTCAACAGAGCGCTGATGATATAGATGAGTTGTACAGGAATAAAAACGCTGAAATAGAAACCCTGAAGTCGGAAATTTCGGAGCTAGCAAATGAAGCCAGAACAGTGAGCAACGACATAGAGAGACTTCAGAAGGAACATGAAACAGAGAAAGCGATTTGGTCAAGATCTCTCACTGAAATGGAAGAGGATCGTAACAACTTATTGAAGAAGATCGAGTCCATATCATCAACAGCAATGGCACAAGGTAACAAGAGGAACAGCAATGTTGACCACGCCAAACGCTTCGTCAACATCCTCAAAGACTTGAACCAAGATAGGATCACCTCAGCTTCAGCAACACAACGCCTGGAATTCACTGCTCAACAGAATGAGATAGTGGATCTGAGAAGGAAACTGGAACTGACTGATAACAAGAGAGCTCATCTTGTTCACGAGCTGAAGAGGTGTGAAAGTGAACTTCAGGAGACCCGAGACATGTTTGGTCTTAAATCTGGAGAAACCAAATCGCTTGTCAACCAGCTGACATCTTTCAACTCCAAACTTGCTAAGTCGGAGAGGAAGCTGCAGGATGCTGTTTCGAGTATGAAGCATGAGCGCCAATGTGGGGAGTTACTGCTGGAAGAAAACCGTCATTTGTATGCTGATAAGGAGAAATATGAGTTAAATATTGAGGAACTGAAAACGAACCTCAAATACCTCTTGACAGAACTGGATGTTTCAAATTCCAAGGTGAACAATTTATCTGATAAGCTGACTCACTGTGATCAGCTTGTCAAGAATCTACAAAAAGTTAACAAACTAAAAACTGGGGATAATTTCGAGCTTGTAGAACTCAATGCTCATTTGATAGAGAAATTGCACGTTCATGAACCAGTGGATATGATCTCTGAAGAATTGAATGAGCTGAGAGAGCAGATTCAACCAGACAGAGGTCTCACGGAAATGATGTATGAGATAGAAATCCTTCAAAACGAAAAGGAGAAGCTGGGAAATGAACTAAATCTGATAAAATGCAAGGAGTCAGAGTTGGTTAAGGCAGCAGAGTCGAGACAAGAACTGAAGGTTACTGAACTTCAGAACAAGCTATCTATTATGCAATCGAACAACGAAGGCACTAAAGAGTTCATAGTTAATCTGAATTCTGAGAACAACGAGTTGAAGAATCAGTTGTACGATTTACAATATCAAGTTGAAAAGACCGAAGAAAAACTTATCCTAAAAGAACGTGAGATTTCTAAACTTAAGTCTCGAGTTGACCATCACAAGTCAATGATGTCGATTCCCAAGAGCCCAGAACCTGATCAAAGAAACCTGAAGAAGATTGAGGATCTGAAGAACCATCTGTCCGAAATGCAGCAGGAGCTGAAGAAAAAGGAGAAGGAATGTAAGGATCTTCACAAAGAAATGGCTCGAAATGAGCAAGATTATAACTCGGCTCTCGACCAAGCCAAATACTACGAACAGTTGATCGGTGAACTTAATCTTGAGATTGGGAAACATGAACGAGATGCTGAAGATAACCAGAAAGAAACCCAGAAGTGCAACAAAGACCTTCAGGACACGAAGAACCAACTCACATCTCTCGTTGAAGAGAACTGGGATCTAACTGACCGCCTCGCTGAAACAACCGAGTCTAACTCTAACAAAGACGTGATTAACAGTGAGTTGAAGAAAAAGTGTGAGTCTCTGGAGAACAGACTGTCAGTAGTGACTCTGGAACACAGCGCTTTGATGAACGAGATGGAGGAAGTGGCAGGAGAGTTGGACAAGGTAGAGGCAGATAGCGAGAAGAGGAAGGAACTGGATGAAACAGTTAAGGAGGTTCTTGATCAGAATGAGAGATTGGCGGAGGAGAACGCAAGGCTAGAGGCTGAGGCTAGAGGAAAAGAAGTTGCTCTTAATAACTTAAAGAGGGCTCAGTCAAGTGATGCGGAGATCAAAAAACAACTCCAGTTAATGAAAGAGGAAAACGAGACGCTACAAGGTGAGCTTAGAGAAGTACAAGGCAGCTGCAAGAAGTTATCCCAAGAAAATAACCGTTTATCTGAAGCCAGCTCCGCCCTTCAAATGATCTCAGCTAGAGTCAAAGACCTCAAAGATAACAACGAACAACTCAAGAAAGCACTCAAGAAGGAGCTATCACGAGATGAAGTGAGATACCTTACAGCTTCCTTCATGGACAGAATCATCCGAAAACTAAACGAGCACATTCCTGACGAGATAAACCGACTTCAAACCATCCTTTCCAGCAAGGAACTTGACATCCAGAGACTAGAAGTGGAAGTGAGCAGTCTACACAGTGAGCTTGTTGAAGCGGATCGTGTTCTCATCAGTCACAACTTGAAGAACTCTCCCCCAGCCAGGGTAGATAACCGGGAGCTGTTCGAGGCTCAGAAGGAAGCAGCTGTAGCCAGCAGGAAGATAAAGATACTTGAGAACCAGTTGGAGGATTGTAAGATCAGTCTCCGGGAGGTGTACGATGAGAACAAGACCTTGTCTAATATTCTTAAAGAAGCTGAGCATGTCCAGGAGGAGCTATCCCAACTTCACACCCCTCCTTCTAACATCTCTATCGGATCTGTTCACTCAACCCCTGAGAAGGAATCAGACTTAAAGGATCAAGTTCGTGAGCTCCAGCAGCAGCTTGAGGAAACCCACGAGGAACTTGGCAGAACTAAGAACTATCTCTCCCAATCTCGGCAAGATCCGGACGGAAAGTTCATCTGTGCAAGGTGTAAGAACCTGATCTCTTCACTATACAATCTGAATGAAGGAGAGCTTCAGGAGATGTTGGATAAGAAAGATAGGGATATTGTTGATACAGAGCAGGAGATTGAGGCTTGAAGAAGGAGATATCAGATCTAGAGGTGAAGATGAGGAGCACTCACCATGGTCCTGGATCCTCCATGGTGTCTCTGTCTAGGGTTAGTAATTGTATTTAGTTTCGATACATTTTTTGGGGCTTTCAAATTTGTACGGTAATGCATGATGTTAGAACTTAGATTAGTAATATAACAGTAAATTTAAATGTTTAAGTTATTAGCTAATAACTGTATCTCACAGGAAACATATGCCCTAAAGAGGAAACTAAGGCAGAATGACAGTAACCTGAAGGACTTGTGGAAGGAGCGTGAGGATTGTGCCAAGCAGCTGAGAACAATAGATCCACACCGACTATCAACACCACAATCCAAGTTTACCAAGGCTGATGTCATCAAGGAGCTCAAATGGGTTTGTACCGTTATTATTTCAATTTTTAATGATTAAATTTTAGATTGAGTCTTAGATTTCTCATATTCTCAAGGTAGGATCAATCTGACATCAATATAAATGAGTAAAAAAAATATATATATAAATGATTAAATCTCAGAAATTTGAGGGAGGATCACCACCAAATGACATGAAGGCTCTGAAGAAAGAGAACGAAGAGCTACGAGGCCACATCATGGAGATAACAGACTTTATCTGTGATCAGGTTTCTTATCTTCAAACAAATCGAAGCTGGAAAACACTCTAACTTGGCTGTATTATGTTTTTCTGCTGATAAACTCAAAACAGCTATTACATTTATTCTGTTTAACACTTTTGTTTGTTTTGGGGATCAGATTTTAAGACAAACGAAAGGCATTCCCATGGGAGGGAATTCTAGTAGCCAGTTCGCTGATCTTTCGCTAGGGAAGTGTGAATTCAACTACATGACACGCCTAATCAAAGAAAAGAAGTTCGGTCTCGCTAAGCTCCTCTCAAGAAACTGCAGATATGTCGACGACCTCAACACCATGAACTATTTGCATTTCTCTAACCTAATCAGGTCCATTTATCCACCTGACCTGCTTATGGAGAGGAGTGGTGACGACAATAAGTCCGTAAACTATCTCGACATCAACATCTCGATGAATAACTCCGGACACGTCGCCACCAAGCTTTACAACAAACTTGATGACTTCAACTTTCCTGTGGTCATGTACACCTTTCCTAACAGTAATATTTCCTCTTCTGTTGGTTATAATGTTTTTTACGGTCAAGTCCTTCGTTACTCTTCCATTATATCTGACCTTGATTCTTTTCTGTGTTCTACCAACACCCTTTATAGGACACTTCTTTCAAGATGTTATAATGACAGACTCCTGAAGAGTAAATTCAGAAAGCTTCTGAAAGACCGACCTAGTATTCTGTACAAATACAGTATACTTGATGTCAGCGACATCCTTGACATCACATTTAACGTGAACAGGTGATCACTGACGAGTGATTGCTAGGGGGTCTTGGCACATTAAACCGGTACAGGTATTAAACCCCCGAAACCGGTGTGCCAAGTCATCTGCTGATGATGTTCACATAACATTATTTCCTCTCTCCTTTATTCCTTCCGTCTTTTCTTAAACTTACAGTTCAGTTACTTTATTTCACCAGGTCTACCTAAGGATCAATTATTCTTTGGTGGGGTTTCACTTCTGGTATTGGCTTCATTCCCGTTCCTTTTCCTTATTCTTTATACTTATTTTTTATATAGTTTAATGAGATTACGTAATTTTTTCTAACTTTCCTGTTCAATACAATCTTCAAGATTGGTATCCGCAGAACTAACTAATTATTGCTACAGAAGTGGCATGACGACATAGAAGCGCTGAGGAAGGAGAACGGGGATTTGAAACAGCAACTCCAGGAACTGTCGGACTACTTGGACGATCAGGTGAAATATTTAAATAAATAATTCAATAAGAGAAAATACTTTATCAACGGGTTTGTGTGATACACCTCCCTGCCGCATTTATATATGATACAAATAAAACTCCATTTACAGACGTTAGGAGAGTTAGGACTCCTCCAACTACATCAAATCAATTCCTTCTGTAACGTCCTCAATAAATGTAATAGATTTGTAGTGTTGTAATTAGTCAAAAATATTCCACCTCTCCAGTCTGCATAACACCTGCCCATTCTCCAGGTATCACCTAACACTTGCCCATTCTCCAGGTATCACCTAACACCTGCCCATTCTCCAGGTATCGCCTGACAACGACGTGCAATCAGCGGTAGAGAACGCCGTTTCAGCACTCCGAGAGGAACACAACACAGCAATATCAGCTCTGGAGGATGAGCTGAACGCTGTACAGGAGTACCATTCTGAACTGAGGAAACAGCTTAAGGAGTGCTGTGATCAGTGTGATCAGTTTGTCAAGTACAGGTGAGGAAGGGTTGTAACTCTGTTTAGTTGAACTTGAATACAAGGAAATGCTTTGTTTCTAATTTTGCATTACTTTATCTTGGTGTCGTAGATAAAGTACGAATATACGGAAGATTTTCCAAAGAGCTTGTCGTAATCAATATAAAAGTTTAGTAGCAGCATGGTAGTACTTTTGTTCTTTCGTTCCCTAATAGTGATACGGTATTATCCCAGGTCTAATGCACCTCGTGACGCACTGAAAAAACACAACAATAAACTGAAAAACGTGCTCAAATCTGTGGATGAGTTCAAGAAAGCTTTCGGAGCATTCGGTATGTGCACATTTTTTCAACTCATAACTTCTTAAGTTATTTATAATTAATCTTTTACACTTAGTCATGTGTGTGAAACCTACTCTTATAGTACAAAGTGTATTTTAAGTGTATTTTAAGTGAATTTTAACTGAATTTTAAGTGAATTTAAAGTGAATTTTAGGTGAATTTTTTTATCGAGCTCACTCACAGTTCAACCTGAACTAACTTCTCTTTACCCAGGTGGGTCGCGACAAGACAAGCAGCTGAGTATTTACATTCTGAAGAGTGGTGAAGTTAAAGTGAAGTGTGAAGGTGGACGTGACAGTGAAATTACTATCGCTCAAATACAGGTACAGTCCATCCCTTATTTACCATTTTATATGAGTATTTCACTATTTCACTATTTCACTATTTCACTATTTCACTATTTTAATATTTCACTATTGCTCGAATACTTGTACAGTCCATCATTTACTGTGATTCTCCATTCACCGGAACAACTTTAATTTTTCAATAATCAGGACAAGTGCCTACGAGCTGTCTCCGATATACTTTTAAAAATATTTCACTATTTCACTAAGATTATTCTATTATTTCACTTCGAGAATTTCACTATTTCACTGAAAGAGTATTCCCCTCAGGGATGTCCGGAGAGTGCTGCTGAAAGAGAAGAGTGGTGTAAAGAGCTGGAAGATGCTGTCCAACTTGTCCGGTAATTAATTATAATTAGTTATAACTAGTCAAATTATTGATTATAATTAGTTATAACTAATCAAATAATTGATTGATTATATACCACTTACTATCGTGTTGATGAATTGAACGGGGTTTCAGGCATTGGCCGTAATGACACCTGATTATAATAGCTAAATATAACTTTATATACGTATAATATAATATGTATAATTTATGTATTAAAAGCGACTGATTATATACTAATCATTATTTGCGTCTGAAAGGCTATAGAATTGAGATAATAGTTGGTTTGGTCACGACTGATTACAACTGATTATTATAAATTAACTTATAACTAATTACACATAACTAATTACCCCTAATTACCCCTAATTACAGGGAGCGTAAAGCATTCTCCCCCGCCAGAACCTCCTCCCCGATAAGGTCAGCTAGCAGGTCCCCCTCGCCCAGAGCTAAACCCGGTCACCACTCTTCAATGTCATCCATTGTAAGTTTTGTAATCAGTTTAGTTAAAAATTAATTGAAATTAATTAATTACACATTAATTGATTTAATAATAAAATAGTTAATGTTTCACGTAATAAATAAAAATTAGAACAAGAAATGCAAGGACCGATATGATTTTGCCAGTTAAATATACCAGTTAGCCAGTATACGGCTGCTTTCTCTTCTTATTATTTAATCTAAAGTGATTTTTCTCCCAGGCTGAAGACAAAATACTACTGAAATTAGTATTGCAACTCCCTGCAACACTCAACTGTTCTATCGAACTAGACTGAGATCCTTCCTCCTTTATCTAGGTATTGCACCTCCTACTTAGTGCACCTCCTACTTTATCTATCCTACCGCAGTAAAGAAATATATCCGTGTGTTTAAACAGAGATAAATATTAAACGACGAGAAATAATCAACTTATTAATCCCAATAACGAGATTTCTGTGTGGAATGTAATGACATGTGACTGTTATTATAGCTGATATGTAATTAGCAGTATAATCAGTTATAACTTTATAATTAGCAGTAATTAGCACTATTACTGTTACTTTGTTAGACAGTAAATAGTAATTACTGCAACTGGCAACTGACAACCCATTAACTAAAAACTATTTACTGAAACTTAAATTTAACGCAAATCAGACTGATAACATTCATCGTGTGTGTTGAGTGGTACACAGATATTCGCATATTCGTTCATTATTATTCTGATAAAGGGGTCGTTCACATATTACGTAATCAGCCGAGGGGGGGGGGGAGGTGGGGTTTCCAAATGATTACGCTAGTGTAATTTTGACACAATAGCTATGTGTAAAACTGATTACGGGGGGGGGGGGGGGGGTAAAAATGTTCCAAAAAATGATTACGTTATATGTGAACGACCCCTTATTATTCTGATATATGAGTATTTTAACTTTTAAGATTAAATCGTTTAAAGATGAAATATGTTTTTTGGATTTCAGTTCCCCCGTCCAGATGCTTAAATAAGCAATATTTAGTAATGATTGTTTTGACTTTGGTATTCATTAAACGGTTCAGAGTTTGATTCATCTGATTGTCCGACGTCTGTGATTGACTTATTACGTTTTTACTTTTAGAATTTTAGTTAAACAAGTCGCCACGAGTTAGAGATTCATTTAATTTTTGGATTTTGAAATAGTATTAAGTTTGTTTAATTTATGGTCATGCTTTTGTGAAGGAATGATGTATATTGTATAAGTTATGTTTGTTTAAGGCTATATCATAGCTATACTACGAGTATGATTCAAATAACTATTTGTACCTTGATCATATTTATCTAAATATCGTATTTATACTATGTTATGAAAATAATTTGTTTTACTTTATTTACAATACGGTGGGTGGAGTTGTGCAAATAATTTTATGAGATCTCTAACTTGAAATGAAATGAAATCATATGATTAACCAACAACACAAGAAAGGTGGTTAGCCATGTCAGAGCGGCTGACTCTGAGTGATGTGAGCAAATGTGTAAAAGTGAACAAAGTTAACTCATCATAAGGCAAAGACAAAATTAAAACATCTTTTATTGTAAACCACACTAAACTAAATAGAAGCAGAAACTATACAATACATGTAATAATTAACAATACATATAATAATTAACTTAATCAATTATCATTAATAAGTTAATACATGACGAATAAAAGGTACCTATATATTTTGATTCTCTCAACTCCTGAATAGTGAATATTAATGGTTGAGAGTTGCAGGGTATTTGGAAGTACTATGGAAGTAACTATGTACATTTGGATCTACATTCTTACATTGAGTTTATTGTTGATTCAACTTATAACTTTATAATATAAATAGTTTCCTGAGCAAGTCACCACCAATATTCTTGGCTTATATCTTTAATCAAATAATCCTTTGTAAGTTTATGAGTTTATAAAACAAACAACTATACTTTTTTACTGGCAGTATATGCGCTACAAGGAAACGAAACAAACATTGTTCAAGTATTCGGCAATGAAGGTTTTAGCAGAATAGTGTATTATTTGCGCGTAAGGCACTCTGCTATAAGTATAATAAATCATGCAGTTGTTAGCTTCTGTTCAACGTATTTTCATACCATATTCTGGGACATGATTGCAAGGTACAACGTAGCATTCGAATGATACACCTGACGTCCTCACGTCAAGTTAATACTTTAATACTTACGTCAATTACCAATCCAGATTATAAAACAACTGAACATTGCACGTGGGACTTGCAGTGCATTATTAGGAATTTCCTTAAGTGCCTGCATTTTGAGATTAGCTCGGTCCTGCTGTTGATGGCTTTCGGGTTTTTGAACCAGGCTTGTTGATTGTATGATTGGCATGTTGTTAATATTTGATTTGCCAGTCAATGATGTATTTTATATTGCCTCTCTTGAGTCTCCATACGAGTTTTTGAGTTTGGATAAGTTGGTTGATGTTTCGTGTATATATGATATATTATAATATACAATTACAAAATATATATAATTGGCCCTTTATCTGTGTTATGTGTCACGTGAAGAGACTAAGCACGACCTAGTCCTAATTAGAAATTACAGTTGGTTATCAGAACGGGGGGGGGGGGGGGGGGGGGCAATGGCATTAATGGAGAAAATGGAGAATTACTCATAATTTTTCCATTTTCTCCATAGAAATAGTCTCCATTTTATGTCATTTTATGCCATTTTATGCCATTGAAAACCTGAAAAATTTAGAATTTCGAGAAAAATTATTTAAAAAAAGATATTTTCGGCCAATAATTTTCGGGTATCATGAAACATGGAGAAAAGTGGTTTTCAGAAAAACTTTGAAAAATGTTGACTTAGAAAATTTTCGGTCCGAGTCATTTTCGATACGTACCTCCCGTATCGAGAGCTCCCGATTCCGAGCTCTTGTTACAAAGGGGAGGCCTGCCTTCCGAGATCGCATTATCTCGAGTCCAAAATTGTGTATCGAGGGGAAGGTGTGGACTTCGAAAAACCGAAAAAATATTTTCGGCAAATAATGAACAGGGTAGCATGAAACGTGGAGAAAAGTGGTTTTCAGAAAAAATTTGAAAAATTTTGACCGAAAAAATATTTTCGGCTTATAATGAACAAGGTAGTATGAAACGTGGAGAAAAGTGTTTTTCAAAAAACTTTGAAAAATGTTGACTTAGAAATTTACCCCTCGGTACACAATTTTGGACTCGAGGCTTCCCCCTGGTAATGCGTTCTCGGAAGGCAGACCTCCCCTTTGCAACACGAGCTCGGAATCGGGAGCTCTCGATACGAGAGGTACGTATCGAGAATGACTCGGGCCGGAAATTTTCTAAGTCAAAATTTTTCAAAGTTTTTCTAAAAACCACTTTTCTCCACGTTTCATGCTACCCTCTTCATTATTAGCCGAAAATATTTTTTTGGTTTTTCGGTTTATCGAAGTCTGCACCTACCCCTCGATACACAAATTTGGACTCGAGGCTTCCCCTGGTAATGCGATCTCGGAAGGCAGGCCTCCCCTTTGCAGTGCGAGCTTGTTTCGACTTTCGAGGATGTAGGTCTCACTTCTCAGTGCCTATTACTCTCCCCTATTACTCACTCCTGCTGTAGCCTGTGGAAATAACTTTACACTAGGCTTGAGTAATTATGAGTTTGCCTGAAGTGTGCCTCTACTAACCTAGTATAAGCATCTAGTAGCCTACTATGAGCTTTCATAAGCTTGTTACGCCCCTAGTAAGCGTAAATAAACATGTTAGGATGTCCAATTTAGGTGTTAAATGGTGTTAAAGATGAAATTTCGAAGACAAAATTCATGGCATAAAATGGAGAAAATGGAGAATTACTCATGGGTTTTTCCATTTTCCCCATAGAAAAAGTCTCCATTTTATGCCATTTTATGCCATTTTATGCCATTGGCCCCCCCCCCCCCCATCAGAACACTGTGTATCAATGTTTAAGATTCGGCAATATACTATTATAATAACCCAATTGGTACTGGCTCACATTGGTCCAGGTACAGGGCGGCGCTCAGCATGTTATTCCGCGCCGCAGCATCTAACATCTTTATTCGTATGTTTATAATTTGACCAAAACCCATAATCATGGGTAGAGTGGACCGCTGCCAGTGTCTCTCTTTCCCAAACAAAAGGCAATGATATCAATTTGAATGACCGTTATCAAATGCAAAATGATACCGAGAATGAAATCGGTCGCTCGCTTTTCCCATCATTCATGGCTTACGAATTGTAATAAGTTTCGATTTATAACATGTAATCTATTTCAATTGTAAATGAATGGGAAAAGCGAGCGACCGATTTCATTCTCGGTATCATTTTGCATTTGATAACGGTCATTCAAATTGATATCATTGCCTTTTGTTTGGGAAAGAGAGACACTGGCAGCGGTCCACTGTACCCATGATTATGGGTTTTGGTCAAATATCATCTCTTTTTGATTATAATGTCAGGGTACTTTACAAAGCCGAAATGTAAACTTATAACTTCATTAATATTAATAAGGAGGTGATTTCAACGATTTCGAAATTTTTCCTTTAAAAACATTTCCTTGTGTTTAGGTAAGCATATCGGTCGATCACTGACTGAATATGCCACTTTATACTCATTCAAGTTGGCATTAAATTCATATATTATAATGACATTGAACAGTCGTGGCAAAGCAGAATTTGTTCAAAATCACGAATGAGCAAAATTTGAACCTTTCGCACGTGCAAACCTTGAGCGAAAGTTGCGTGCGCATCCAATATTGAATCACCGTAAATTTTTGCATGATGGTGTTCAATATATAGTTTGATAAGCATAAAAAGTTTCAAAGTATTTCAAGAAGAACTGTAATCACAACGGCACTCCAAAGTTGACGGAAATTGGTGAAAACAGCAATATTCAGTGATTTTAGCAATTTTCTATCAATTTGGGCGTGGCCCCACGTGTGCAAATTTTCGATTTTCAACTTTAAAACTAGCCTATTTTTTAACATGGTTTTTAAGGCACCTGAATATGGCGATTTCGGGTTTTTTACCGAATTTCGTATAACAGTGCTGGCGCGAATTTTATGCAAATTTCTTCAAAATCTCAACATAACTATTTCTTATTTCTGTCATCTTTGACATCAAATTAGAATGTTTTGAACTAAAAATAAATCTGCTGAACGACTTCCGATGAGTCTTAATGCCTGAAAAACTCCTGCCGGAGGCGGCGGCCTTCGGCGGCCGCCTCCGGCCGGAGTGCACGCTTTTTTAATGCCTGAAAAACTCCTGCCGGAGGCGGCGGCCTTCGGCGGCCGCCTCCGGCCGGAGTGCACGCTTCGCGTGCACGAAAGAGGCTTCCAACGTGTACCAAAGGGGGTGTAAAGGGGTTATAATAGTAAAGGGGGTACAATAGTAAAGGGGGTACATAGTATTCCCCCAATAAAGACACCGCTCGTGCTTGCCAGCACTGTGATTATAAAAAATAAAGCCTGGGGTCCCCAAGTAGCCTATGACACAATTTAGACGTTTAGAAAGCAAAATTGAGCTCCACAACCCAAGGGATGGTGCAACATCAGAGAATACTAGAACGTAAAATTAGCGTTTTTATAAAATTATTCTTTAAAAAAGCACTAACTTCAATAGCGAATATTTTTATGAAGGAGCAAGCTAGAAAAACTTTCCGGTAGATTTTCAGAATGCTTAAATAATTATCTAACTTCAATAAGCCCTCAAATTTTGAATAA